TCAAGACACGACAAATTTGGTGAGTCAACCCGGCCCGGCTTGGCCCAAAAGTTTGGTCCTCGATCGTCTTGGACCAGTAGCGCTGTCCGTTCAGTGTACTCAGCCCAAATTAAAGTTAGTGATTGCAAAAGTCGTAATCACATTTGAGATTATTATTGAAAGAGAAGTTAAGGATAATGGATCAATGGCAAATTATGATGTGGCATACGGATGCAAAAACAACGTTGTTTTGCTTCAAAACCCGCGTCTTACTTAAAAAAAAAAAAAACAATTTTGATTCTCAGCAATAACATTATCTTGTTCATTTTTTAGTTCATTCATTCTGAATTTTTAGTTATGAAATTATGGATGTGTAAATATGTAATTCTGGATTTATAGTTATGAAATTATGGATGTGTAATTAAGCAATTCTGAATTTTATAGTTATGAAGTTATGGATATATAGTTATGCAATTTTGGATGTGTAGTTATGCAATTCTGGATGTATAGTTATAAAGTTATGGATTTGTAGTTATGCAATTCTGGATTTATAGTTATGAAATTATGGATATGTAATTCTGGATGTATAGTTATGAAATTCTGGATGTTTAGTTATGCAATTTTGATTATTTTTTTAAGTTAGACATCAAAACGACGTCGTTTTTGCATCCGTATGCACCATGCACGGGGCATAACGATTGGTGGTTTAAATGGTGCAATTGTTGTATGGAGGGGACAGGTTTTGGTATCCCAACAAGACCACATCTTTGGTATGGTGCATCATATCGATATATATAATTATACAAACTTGTACTTAAAATAAATTATACAAACCTGGTTCGAACGTGATGAAAATATATATAGACCCTATTTGGTAAATGGTTGTTAGCTTATAACTATTAGCTGTTAGTTGATTATGTTAATTGGAGGGTATAACTAGTTGATAACATTAGCTGTTGTAGAAAAGTGTTTGGTAAATTAGCTGATAGCTGATAGCTGTTCGGTATAATTTATTTTCTAAAAAAAGTTGTTTGGAGTAGTTTTTTGAATTTTAACATTTTGGAGTTGCAAAAAGCTAATTAACCAAACACTTATATTGATATTTTAACTAAATCAAACAATTAATAATAAATCAAAAAAATCAAAATTGGTCTATAGGCCAATTTTTTACCAAATAAGGCAAGGTTGGGTAACATAAGATTTCTATAAAAACAAAAACAAAAAAAAAAAACAAAAAAAAAAACAAAAAAAAAAAACAGTCAAACAAGGTATACCAACAAAAATTAAAGGGGGTGAATGAAAATGATGTAAATAGTGATCTATGTTGACAAATGAATGCATAATTCTATACTAATTTATATATGTTATAATTAATTAAAATATGGATATTATCTTAGTGGGTTTAATTTATTTATTTTTCTTAGTTTTTAGGATTCTACGTGTTGTGTAATGAAGTGGACTGTTATCAAATAAATGAGAATGTTTATGTATCTTTCTGCTCAATTTTATATTCTAGTTTTTCTCTCTCTCATTTTATCTCGTATTATGTAAGAAGACTTTCACCAAGATCAATCACAAAAAGGAACATCATAATTCACAAAATAACATTTTCAAATATATATTGAAGAGTTGTTTTGGCCTGGGGAGCGTAGGTAAAATTTCTTACCGCCCAAAAATTGGTCAATATTATTTTACAGTTTGCAATAAAAGATCAATCTTTTTTTCTTTAAATAGTAACTAAACAAGATTACATACATTTAAGTTGAGCAATGTCGATAACTAATTAGCGTCGTCAAGAAGGGGATGAATGAAAATGTAAATAGTGATCTAGCTAACTAGCTAGGTTGACAAATGAATGCATAATTTCAACCAATTCATATATATATATATATATATATATATATATATATATATATATATATATATATATATATAGTAAGGTTCAATTGTGGCGTCACTAATAGTTCAACAAATATACACCATCAACGTTAAAAAATGCACTACAAAAACACACATAAATTAGGTAAGCATCACCAAAAAACACCATTAAGTGTGAGTAAAAACACCATATAGTGTTTAGAAATACACCATTGGAGTGTGGTGAGTTATATGGTGTATTTTTTTTGGGTTTGTTGTGTATTTTTTTTTTAGTGTTTTTTGACATTTCATTGTGGTGTATTTCTCTTACACTGTTGGTGCTAATTGTTAACACGGTTGGTGTATTCTGATATTCCGCCACACCGTCGCACTAAGGAGATCGAGGCATTTGAACTTTTTCCCATATATATAGGGTCAGGTTCTTGTGAGAACATGTCTTCCCGTGCGGTCAGTGCGGCATACACCATTAGGTATGCATAAATGCACCACACAATGTTCGAAAATACACCATTATGTGTGGTGTATTTTTTTTTTTTTTTTTGTGGTGCATTTTTTGACATTTCATTCTGGTGTATTCTCGAACACTGTATGGTGCATTTATGCATACCTAATGATGTATGTTGCACTGACCGCATAGGAAGACATGTTCTCACAGGAACCAAAATCTATATATATATAGAGAGAGAGAGCTATATATATGGTAAGTGGTGCAGTTGAGTAGTCTACTTCCTCCACCTTCAAAATCCCACATATCTTCCCCTTCAAACCACGGTATATCTCAACTACATCCATATCCCACACCCGCCATATATCAATATAATTTACCTTATATATATACACAAACCTTTCTTCATCATCACATCAGATCATTCTCCGACCATAACATGTTTGAAGTATAAGCTAAGGAAACTCAACACCATATCCGATGATATATCATCCCATAATACTGTCTCTTCATTCTCCCTAGCTATAACCTGCATTGCTCTCATCTCATCTAGCTATCTCGGTCTTCTTAGCTAGCTTTTCCATCAAAATTTAATTAATTAAACCATATATATATCATGGAAGCAGATTCTGCAGAAAATCAAGAACCCATCATTATTCTCCCCTCCGCCGCCGTAGACTACCGGGCCAACGTGGATACCTCGCGCCCTTTCCGGTCGGTGAAAGAAGCGGTGGCGATTTTCGGGGAGCGGTTCTTGGCCGGAGAAGTCTACTCACAGTCCTCCTCGTCTAAGCCTCCCTTCGCGTTCCCCAAGCATGAAACGCCGTGCTATTACTCCCCGACTACAAAATCCCACGACGTAGTTTCTGCGGCGGCGGCGGAGGAGGAGGAGGAGGAGTCGGCGGTGGCGTACACGCTGAGGAAACTGGAGGCGGAGCTGGAGGAGACGAAGGCGGAGCTGAAGCAGCTGAGGGAGAGGGAATCGGAGACGGAAATCGCGCTGGCGTCGTTGAACGCCGAGCTTCACAAGAATATGTCGAAGCTGGCTCAAGCGGAGGCGGCTTCGGCGGCAAAAGCGGCGGCGGCGGCGGATGCGAGGTCAATCTGCGCCGGCGCCGGCGCCGGCGAGATCATCAAGAAACCGAGTTTGGCGGATGTATTGAGAGGCGGTGATAGGAAGAAGAAGATGATGGCGAAGAAGAAGCCGATAATTCCACTTGTGGGGGATTTGTTTACGAGGAAGAAAGGGTCGTCGTCGCCGATTGCGATGAACAATCCTCTCTTTTCATCTTCTCATGCATGGTTTAATTGAATTGATATGATGAAACCTCAACCCCCATGCATGCATGCATGCATGAATAATTTAAATACTAAATTCAAATTGTTTTTTTTTAATGATATGTGAGCAAAATTAAACCCCATAATTTTGTACCATTTGTATTCCAATTACCTTATGTTAATGTGCATGACTTTTTATAATGATGATAGATATGATGCTTGTGCCCGCACTAACACTCAGTTAGTATTCAGGTAGTAGATTGTGGATGTAGTGATATAATCTTTTTTCCTCATTTAATTTCATGTCTTATCCGGCATTATACCTATTACACTCTCTTATGTCTCCTTTCTTTTTATATTCACGTGTCATTATTATATTAGATAATAATTTTTATTGTATTTGGTAATTTGGTAATTAGCTAGGATGGACCATCTTACATAACTTTAAAAATTATTATAATGATTCCTAAATGAGTGGTCGAATAAAGGGAGTATGATTCACTAACATTCTTTCGATGGAGTGTGTTACTGTTGCACGGGCGATTGTGTGCATCATCTATAAAATCCCAATTTCTAATTAGCTTCTTCTCATGATTTATCTCAAAAAAAATCTCATTGTCTTATTGACCTTTTTAGTTTGAACCGATCAGGTAAATTTATATTAGCTTACTCATTGTGATCCTTTGTCAGCTAAGGTCACAAGACAAAATTTATTCAATTTTTCAGTACACATTATCGAATTATGATTGCACGTTTTCTTCATTGTCACCCCAAAAAATTTATAGATATATCTTTTTATTTTTTAAATCTCACTTTTGTTATTGTTATTGTTATTATTATTATTATTATTATGGAGTATGACATCCTAAAATTTGAGTACACAAGTATTTCTAAAATACATAATAAAACCTCTCCACCACTAGCAAAGAGTGAATGAAATTTTGGGTGGTGGAGGGAGGGTGGAGGTGGAGGTGGGTGGGTGGGTAAATCTGATTACCAGAAATTTGTAGCCCCAGAGTTCAATCAGCTATGGCTTTGAACCCACCATCTTCCTGTGGAGCCTTGCAAATCCCTGAATCCTCTTTCCATTCTCTTCCTCTAAAGGTTTGCTTTCCTAACAACATAACACACTATGTGCATTTTAAATTTTTTCTTTTTTGTTCTCGAGTTTCGAATAACCAGTTTGTTCAATCACTGCAGATTTCCAGTCTTCTGGGCTCTACGGTTTCACTCTCGCGGAGGCGCAACCCATTGCGGCGGCCGCCGCCGCCGTCACGCTTAGTACCAAGAGTTCATTTTTCCGGCAGCCCAAAGCCGCAGCTAGGTGAAGTTGATTGTTTCCCCCCTTGGGATTTTATCTTCTGCACTTGTCCTTTCCACTGCTTATAAATACCTTTTACGAATCGTAAAGTATTAAACTTTCTCCCAATTACTTGAAATTTTAGTGCTTTCATACAAAGGGTTTGTGAATTTTAATGATTTTACTGTATGATTCTTCCTTTATCTGTGGGGTTCTGGAGATTAAACTTATATTCATCACTTTTGGTTGGTATTAGTCAAGTGATTTTCACTTCTTTTTTTTTTTTGGTGAAGAGGGCAACCTGCAGCCACTACAGGGGTGTTTGGTAAATAGTTGTTAGCTAATTGGGTTAGTGAGTTTAGCTAGTTGATAGCATTAGCCGATTGTAAAAAAAGTGTTTGGTAAATTAGTTGTTAGCTTATAGATGATTACATGCAAAATGACTTTCTCAAAAAGTTGATCGAAAAAACTACTTTGAGCAGTTTTTTGAATTTTAGCATTTTGGGGCAATAAATCTTTACAAAAACTAATTAATCAAACATTCATATTGATTGTTTAATCAAGTCAAACAGCTAATATTGGTCAAATAAGTCAAAATTGACTGATGAGCTAATTATGTTACCAAACATGGCCTATATGTGTGTATGCACTAGGTAAATCCTGTCTTCTAACCCTAGCCGGCAAAGGAGTAGAGAGGTTTGAGTGACTCAAACCAAGAAGGCCAATAGGCCACTCCTGTTGCGAGTCGAACTTGTAACCTCGTGGTTACTAAGTCAACAGACCAACTTGGCTGGGGTTGCCCTTAGGTGTATACGGCGAGTTTTTCAGTTTTTGGGCACTTTCTAAATTTGAATTGGATTCCTCCCTGTGATGTTATGCAGTTGTAAGGGCAGTTGCAGCTCCTCATTCAGCAGTGGGCGTACCGCTGACAGCAGAGAATGTCGAGAGTGTATTGGATGAAATTCGACCATATCTCATTGCTGATGGAGGTAACGTTGCCCTGCATGAAATCAATGGCAATGTTGTTAGGTTAAAACTTCAGGGAGCGTGTGGCTCCTGCCCCAGTTCTGTGATGACGATGAAGATGGGCATTGAGCGTCGTTTGATGGAAAAGATCCCCGAGGTTTCTGCCGTTGAATCCATACCAGACGAAGAAACTGGCCTCGAGCTTAATGCAGAAAACATAGAGAAGGTATGTGATCCATTCTAGTCCTTACGTGTTCTGTAGATTCGAGATATTACTTCGAGAATAATGGAAAATCGTCACTCACATTTCTCTAAAATGGCTGGTTTGATCACGTATTTAGCTCATGTGACACATGGATGCAATAGGGAGTAGAATGAAACTATGATTTGATTGTTTCTATTGACAATATACTCGTGTAGAATGGTACGAGACGAGGATATTTATATCGAGTTGCTTGATGTATATTTGGTTTTTCTTTCGAGTTTTGTTGTGAATGGTTCGTTATTAAATCTAGGTGCTCGAAGAGATAAGACCATATCTCATTGAGGCAGCCGGTGGAACATTGGAACTAGTTGGAATCGAGGAGCCAATCGTAAAGGTTAGAATCACGGGCCCTGCAGCAGGGGTGATGACGGTTCGTGTTGCTGTGACTCAGAAACTAAGGGAGAAGATCCCTGCAATAGCTGCAGTTCAACTTTTACAGTAAATATATACAGCTCTCAATGATAGCTGAAAGTACAGGAAGCTCTGTAAATAGTATAAGTTGTGTTGTTCTTAGGGAAGATAGTCTTGGTAGTTCATAATTCAACCATTCTTGGAACACTATGATTTATATTGCAGCAATTATTTGGAGGGTGTTGCCAATCATTATACCATGAACCATGTTCTACGTTGTAAGCTAAATCACTAACATAAAGATTCATTTTTAATATACTAAAAGTTCATTTTTAGTGTATTACAAATTCATTTCTGATAAATTTACTTTTAGTGTAAACACAAGGCTTGTTCAAACTAATTGGCAAATTATACCATGAACTAAAATCCACTTGCATTTTGATCTACAGTTCAAAATAACATTCAGTTTTATGTTTTTTCTAGGGAACAAAATCAATTAATCAATGAACGAATACAATGAGGGGATTATGTATTATAATATTATATACCTTTAATTTATTTTCTAACACATAATTTAATAACTGATGACACATGATATATTAACTGCAAACACATAATTTTTCGACCAAAATTCATAATGTAAGATAGACTCTAGTTCATGGTTCATGACTCCATGGTATAACAATTGAAGTAATCTCAAGGATACCGGATGTCATGAAAAAAAAAAAAAAATCTCTAAAATAAACTTTAATTTTTTGTTTTCTTTTTTTCTTCAAAAAATAAAATAAAAAAAAATTCTCCAATTAGTAAACGGAACCATACATCTCATTTCAACTTTGGCAATGTGGAGTGTACTTGTTTGGTATGGTAAAGAATATTAGTGTTGAAAACATGGATTCCCAACTACAGAAACAAGAACAAAACTGTAGACCAAATGAAGAGGAATAAACAGACAACAATGTCCATTTCCTTCCTCCACATTAAGGTTGTTGCCTTACAATTGAAAGGAATCTGTGGGTCTGTGAACATCTTTCAAACTCTTCCCTTTAGGTGCAGTGATCTTAGTCACAGTAGAGCTTGATCACAGAATCGGCGCCTGCTGTAAATAACCACGGCTGCCTCGGGTGGAACGTGCAGTCAAGAACGCCTGAAAGTAGAAATTATAATGTGTCAGCAAAAGACGTTTATAGTTAGGCAATGTGCTTCACTGCTTTGACCCCGCCCGCCAAACGTTTAGGACAAAAAAATACCTCTTCCATTTTCAATGGCGTGACCCCGGAGAATCTCCAGAGGGACTATTAGGGGATTTTGGTTCAGATCTGAATAAACCATTCCATGGAAGACATATGCAGAGCAGTCATCAGAACATGAAGCGAACAAAGGATAAGAACGATGGAAGGCAACTTTGTTAATGTCCTTTGGATGACACCTGAGATTTGAAAAAGGAAAATCGCATGAAGAGATAAACAATGGCAAATATAACCGGATGAAAAGCTTTAGTCACGGAACTTCACAAATGCCAAAACCAATAAAGATTTCGGTCAAAATCCTTCAATTTGCAGCGGATGAATAAACATGCATAAGCACAAAGTTTCGAGCTTTTAACTTTATTCATCTCACATAAGGAATCGATTCTTTTGACCATGTCCAAAGGTTTTTTTCCTTTACTTACTTGAGAACTCTGTAAGGCTGAGATGAAAGGTCCATGTCAAACCAACACAGTTTCCCCTCTCTACTTCCAACAATGACGTGATCACCTGCATATGAAGGTATGAATTCATGAAAAGAATACACTTATGCAGACAGATAGATAAAAGGAGGCACAATTGCAAGGAAATTACTCAAATTAGTTTCATATGACAACACAGAGAAGGCTTAGAAACATACCACTTGAGTGAATGGAAATAGAGGATACTTCACGTAATTTGGTTTCAAGTTTCTTGATAGCTTTTGGGTTCAGCAGATCATAGACACGAACAAATTTCTTGGTTGATATAAAGAAGAGAGAGCGAGTAGGATGGAAAGCAGTTGAAACCGGAATTCCATGCAGCTTGAATGGAAGCCGTTGGGTATTCTTCTTTGAGAGTTGATGAATAAATATTGCTCTTGCGTCCCGTATGAATGGGTTAAGAAATAACATCAAGCAATTAAAAACAAAATAAATGTCACAGCTATACAAAACATGATTCGGGTAGCCAAAAGAACCAGAATATCAGGCAGATGATGAAAATGGGTTCATGAATGTACAATCCAATGGAAGCAAATTCCTAGAACGGTAATCACATACAACTGAAAGACAATTCAAAAATAAGCTTGGATTGGATGTTTCAATGCACTAAAGAGGATATCAGATGGCGACACTACTGACAAATAGTCTCCTTTACGATGCCACTCTACAGAAGTAACTGTCTGCAAAACTCAATGAACGTACAGAAGTCAGACTCGTATAAAGGCTTCAAATTTATCACCACTGCAGTGTCTGATGAAGACTCAATATAATAGAAAACGAAACCAAGTTTAAGTACCTTAGAGTGCTTTAACCTGATTCCTCCAAACTTATCATCCTGAGACCAGCTCACAAGGGAACCACTGTCTGAGACACCAAGAAAAAAATAAGGACAGCTAACATATTAACCTTTTGCACAATATGCTTAAAGGCATTCACATCACAATCTGGCCAGCACTTTGCCCTTAATTGGACCAGCCTGGTGCGAACGGGAATTAGTTTGAGTATGGTATGGCTTAAAGAGTTAAAGTTGCCTCCTACAGTTAGGGCCTGCTCAGGACACCTCGTGGTCTGACCAAAAGGAAAAAAGAAAAAAAAAGCATTCACATCAGACTGACCAGAGTCATCTGTCACGGGTGGTGTCTGAACACGCAATAGTTCTTCAACCGTCTTTTGTCCTTCTTCATTCCCAAGGCCAACATTCAAAAGACATACATCTGGTCCGCTACATAATTAGTTAACATAAGATATTTTCTAGGCTATCATAACCGCATCAATTAATGAATATATCCAGTAATTCATTATGCTTACACAGAGACTGCCAAGATAGGAAGCTCGGGCACTGGATTCCAAGACACATGCTGAACTGCTTCCCCCAGCTCCCAAATCCTTATACATCTTCCAGTCTCAACCTCCCATATGCGCACAGTTCCATCCTTTGAACCTTAAGAAATAGTAGTTCATGTATCATGATTCTATATGAGTTTATAACTTAAGGACAATGAAAAATTCGTTAGAAGCCAAACCAGAAGCAATCCACTGCCCACTAGGTTCTGTACAAATTGAAACAACAGGACCGCTGTGACCTTTATATTCAAGATAACAAGTTGTTGGGTAAGGTCTGAGGTCTTTGCGGCTTGGCAACTTTGGTTTCAAGGACTCAGGATCAATATTTAGCTGTAGAAGAGTTAAAAGATGTAGGCTTACTTTGTGATTAAAAGATTCCAGTTGCTATAAAATATCCAGATACTTTTGTCTGTGGAAAACTCTTGAACTAAAACAAGCACACTTGGTACCAGTTCTCTTTACTTACTCGCTTTTTATGAGCTCTGGGGCATAAATAAAGATCCAGACATCGATCAAATGTTTCTTTGACAGATTTGTCATATGCTGGAACGCTTCTCAAGGATTCAAACCTAAACATAACCAAAACAAATTTGGATTAAAATATTCAACTGAAAGGAGCAAAGTGAAAAAAGTTATTCTTGACCAGTTAAAAAGGCAGTAATGTACTGTTTTGGAATAAACTTTGGCCGATCTTCCTCAAACATAAGCTCATAAGATTTGATCTCGTCTTCTGTTGGGATATATTCCAAAGAGGGGTTATATGATTCCTCATGACCTGAAACAACACTTAGGTAAGACACCAAATGCTATCCCTTACTCCCTTTGAAAAGGTGAAAACCGTGAAATGCCAAGGATATTTAGGGAGAGTTGTAAACCTGGCAGCTTAGGCTTTGGAGCAGGAATATAAGATAACCCTTGTCTTTCCATTGCAGTCGAATCATCTCCCCACAAAAGATAGAATTTTGGTTCTTCTTTTGGCTTCTCATCAAATTTTATTAGCCCCTTTCTTATTGCACGTACATACTTAACAACCTGGATCCAGATGAAAATTTAATTATAACTATAATCACAGTGAAATTTGGCAGTAATAAATATGTTAAAGGCATCATGTCAGTAGTTCACATTTTCTATTTAACCATCAGAGTTACTCCCTTTGTCCCTCAAAATTTGTCTTCATTCCTAAATAGGTATGCCCCACAAAGTTTGTTACTTTCCTAAATACAACATTTATTACTTCATTACCAAAAAAAACCCTTTAAAAACCTTCTGCATTTATTATAAGGGAAAAAAATCACAAGTACATTTTCTATGGGAAAAAATAAAAATATATCACTTAGTCAATACATTAAATATAATCCCCTAAATCTATGTGTATGGTCAAACATGACAATATATATGGAACGGAGGAGTACACTATACTTCATCAACCCAACCTGTATAAATAGGACTGCCCCCATTCACATGCAAATGGAAGATTTAGGAGGGGTACAGATTTTTATGCTTAAAAATGCTGGTTCACAGTGCAGTAACTACAATATAAGTTCTTACAAGATAAACCTCAAGTCAAAGGTGCAATCATTCATTATGTATTTATGTGCCTTACTGCTTTTTCTCAAAGGTTCAATAAAGCAAATGAAACGAACAATATTGAAAGCAGATAATTGTTACATGTTACTGGGAACAATATGTCTATATATGTAACAAGGAAAAAGAAAAAGGATGGAAAAGACTAAACATCTTGCAGCACAAATTAAAATAACAGTATATGAAATCTAACCTTTTTGCTCTCCCACTTTGAAGGAATAAAACGTCTCTTTGGTTCTGGAGCACTGGAAAGCGGATGCTTTGCATCATCCCAGGCAAACCAGTCCACATATGGCTGCAAAATAAAGGAGATAGAATGACTCTGTCATCACTGCTTTAAATGAAAATGAAGTTTTAGCTACAAGCTACATAGAAAAGGTTTATAACTAGGTGACAGGGTACAAACTGCGTAAGGATCAAAATCAGCATGAGGTGCTTTCCCTTTCAGCATTCTGCGAATCGTTTTGATCTCTTCTTTGGTCAGCTCCACTTCTTCATCATTATACTCGTCATAAATCTTACGCCTAAATTTCATGAATGTAGGATGTTTCATACTTAGTTTGAAATTGGATGTAAACCAATACATGCATCATGTGTGTGTCTGTAAACACACATAAATATCAACTCACCAATTTTTGGAGTCATCAGCACTGGCAAGAAATGAATCTAATTTATCTTGTTTCTCTTTTTTCTTGATCTTCTTCCCGGCAAGATCATATCCTATATGTTCCTCATCTTTGTACCATTTCAACGGAACATTCCCCACAGTATTACGAGGAGCAACCTGATTGGCAAAACATATCCAATAAATGGATGAAACATGAAAAGTAAGCAAAGCCAAAAAGGTAAATGGCATGAGTAAGGACCTGTGATAATAACTAGGTAACAAGTTCCAACCAGAGAAATATTTTTAGCTAGTAACAGTGCTTCATATTTTTAAGATAACATACAATCAGGCTTTGATGCATAAGCTTGTACCTAAAGACAATGTCTTCACTACTTTAAATAAAAACAAGTTTTAACTGTTTGGATTCCTTACCAGCAAAAGTAACTGGTAAAAACCATATAGCAAGTTCTTACCCCATTCATCACCAACTTTTAGAAACGCCTTGAGACAGTTAAGCATTTCTCGAAAAATAGAAATATGAAACATACCTCATCTTCAGATGAGTCACTCTCCTCAACTTCTGGACGGGAGTCATCACTTTCACTATCATCTACATCACTATGACCCGAGTCATCTCTATTACTGTTACTTGGGCCAGCACCAGCTAAATCATCTGCATTGGTGGTGGCATCATCACCATCACTTGAGACAAAAACATCCTGCAACAACCACAAGAAGAACTCTAATAAATAACTAATAGTAAAAGATTCTAAGAGCAAGAACAGAACTGCTCTTAGTTTAATAATTTATTAAAAATTAAATTAAATAAAAAGCTGCAAACTTTTATGCCTCATGGGTACATTCAGACCAGTGACTAACAAGAATCACAGAAATTAGACACCCCAAATGTTTTTGCTCTTATACTCATAGCCTGATCAATGCTGCAAAACACAGATGAAATTACTATATACCTCACTACCAGAGAGTTCACTTTCTTCGTCTGTCCCTGACTCTCTCACTGAGCCATTGTCTTCAGAAAATTCCTATAACCACATTATAAAAAAATTAAAATAAAGACTTAATAATACATAGGGAATTCACAACCAAGAATGCTAAAAATACAAACAAGTCATCCCTGTCACGCTTGCAACACTATGCACAGACCCAGAGCACAAAACGAATTCTTGAAACATTAACCCAACAATCGGCATACACATTATTATCGATTTTTTCGACCTGTCTGTCAACCCAGTGATCTCGAAAATACAAAGAGTAAACCCGCAAAATCCACTAGTGGGTACAAATTGAGCTATTCTGCATCCTTTCAGCTAAACTATGAAAAATAAAAGCAAAAATAAACCTCATCATCGTCGTCGTCGGAAACAACCGGGGATTCATCAGAGTAGTCTTCTTCAGACTGTTTAGCTACCGCATCTATTTTCTTTTGCTCTTCTCCCTCTACCTCTTTCGTTGGTTCCTGCTCGGTCCCTTTTTTCACCTTCATAGCTCCTCTACCTGCAACTCAGTAGATGGCCGTTCCGGAGGGAAGAAGAGGGGAAGTCAGCCGACAGGTATATAGCTAGGGTTTTAACAAGGTTTTAGTTATTTTCTTATTTGTATTTGGAATATTAAAGGAAAAAGTTCACTAAAAAGAACCATATAGATAAAATATTACGGAGTATAATTGAATCATAATTTTATTCAATGGAAAAGCATAAGTACATAACTTTTCTTTGAGTTTTTTTCAAAAAAAAAAAAAAAAAAAAAGTACATAACTTAATCACAATTTTAACAAAAAGTATAATTGTGAATTTATCAACTAACTTACAGCCCGTTTGGTTCGCTGAAAAATATTTGATGGGAAATGGAATTCAAATTCTATGGAAAACAAATTACCAGGAAAATGGATTCTATTGTTTGGTTGGTGGAAAAGAAATTTTAGGAATATGAATTCTATTGTTTGGTTGGGTTTGGAATGGTAAGGAATTATGAATATAAAGACCAATATGCCCTTAACAATAATATATACATGTGTAATTACTAATTAATAAACTTTGAGGAGGGTAAAATAGTCCAATATTGTAATACTTTCTTCCCAAATCCTTTGGAAAACAAAATACCAATGTCTTGCTAGGATTTTGTTTTCCTTCAACTTTAGGAACTCAACTTCCTATGGAAAAGATTTTCCATCCAACCAAACAACATAAAACAACATTTTCCTACACTTTTTAGGAAAACATTTTTCATAGAATTTGACTTCCATCCAACCAAACACCCCCTTATAGCTCAATTATTGTTCCATGGATCATGGTCCACAGATTTGTGTGAACCATAAATAAAAAGTAATTTTTTAATTTTTAATATACTAAAATTATGTAATTTGTATACATAGAGTACATATTTTTTTATATATTATCAAATAATGTACATTCAGAACACAAATAATGTATTTTTATTTTTTAGTAATTATCAATTATATAATTGTGAATTTATCAAGTAGCTTATAACTCAATTATTATTCCATGGATCATGGTCCACACATTTGTGTGAGTCATAAATAAAGAAGTAAATTTTTAATATATTAACATTATGTAATTTGTATACATAGAATACATAATTTGAAAGTATATAATTTTTTATATATTATCAAATAATGTACATTCAGTATACAAATAATGTATTTTTAGTAATTGGCCCTTATTAGCTTAATTGGGCTCTCTCAAATAATAGGTCACAAATTTGAACTCTATTAGCAATTGTTATACCGTGTAACCGTGTCCACCTTATAAGATGGATACGCTTCTATATTCATAATTACTGAATTTTATGTTTATAATTATAAAACTATATGTTCATAATTGTTGAGCTCTATATACACAATTGTGACAATTTTGCACAGCATAATTTTCCCTCAAATGGAGTAGTGACTCTATTGTGAATTTTCGTTCTTCAAAAAATCCACATTGCAAGATAGACCCGAGACCAAATATTCACATTATCTTTTTTTTTTAATGCTACTAACTCTATTTCACAATCTCAACCTTCTGAAGGACAAAAAATCAATACCACATCCACTAAGGTTCGAACTCTATATGAGAGTCCAATCTTGGTGTCATTAGACCACCAAGTCTTGGCAATTTATCTTTTAAAAAGTCACAATTTGTATACTACGAACACATAATGTTAACATATATGTAATTGATTACTTTGTTTTGCATTTATAAGTTCCTTTTAAATATCGTCACTGTTAGTAATGTTATTATTTCCATATTATTATTATGCTATAGTTAATATTTGTGTGGTAGAGAGTTAGTCATCTGTGATTAACTTAATAGACATGAAGGTTTTATGTTGGCCCTGTTTGGTAAAAAAATTTGCCTATAGGCCAATTTTGGCTTATTTGACCACTATTAATTGTTTGATTTAGTTAAAATATCAATATAAATGTTTGATTAATTAACTTTTTGCAACTCCAAAATGCTAAAATTGAAAAAGTTACCCCAAGCAACTTTTTCAATTAGCTTTTTGAGAAAAGAAATTATACCAAACGGCTAACAGCTAACAGAATTTACCAAACACTTTTCTACAATCAGCTAATGTTATCAACTATTTATACCCTCTAATTAACACAATCAGTTAACAACTAACAGCTATCAGCTAACAACCATTTTACCAAACAGGGCCGTTATCTTTTCCTTTAGAATTGTAAACTGATATATTGTTGGAATTGTATTGGATTAGACTTTCTCATCTGGTATCAGTTAGCCAACGATATAATCTTCCTAAAAATTCTCCAACCCTCCGATCGCCTCTCTCCAAATCTTCGATCACCTCTCTCCAACTTTCCGATCGGTATGTCAACCAATTCCTCCGAGCGGACGGTGACTGCCGCCGCCGTTCCCGCTCCAACCACCACCCAAAACACTCTCTCCACCGCTCACCACTTTGTCTTTATTAAGCTCACCACCAGGAACTTCTTGTTTTGGCGCACCCAATTAGTTCCATTCCTCCGAGGCTAAGGGTTACTTGATTATGTTGACGGTGAAACACCGTGTCCACCAGCCACCATCGACATAGCTCCATCCTCCGCCGACTCCGCCTCTGCCGCGACTGTCGCCGTCTCGAGGCCCAACCCGGCGTATAGAGCTTGGATACAATAGGATTAGTCGATCCTCTCGCTCTTCATCTCCTCGCTTTCAGACGAGGTTATGTATTTGGCTGTTGGCCGGAATACTTCGCGGGAGGTGTGGGAGTCTGTCACGTCGGCCCTTGGATCGTCAACACGAGCTCGTTGTCTGAATCTGTTAGGAAAGTTCCAGTCTCTTTGTCAAGGCAGTCACTCTCCGGCAGAATATCTCGGCAGAGCACAACTCATTGTCGAAGCCCTGGCGTTGGCCGGCGGCCACTTTCCCTCGACGAGCAGAATATGTATGTGTTCCGAGGGCTTCATCCAGAATTTCGTGCAATGGCGGCCTCCCTAACATTGACCTGTACAACCGTCTCCATTCCCTAGCTCTCCGACTTCTTGCAGGCTCAAGAGTTCATTATCTCCGATGACTTCCCGACGGGTAACGATGGAGGCCTCGCCGACTCCCGACGGCTATGTATGCTGGACGTGGACAGAATCGGCATCCGCCTGGTGACGGTGGCTCCGACAACGTAACCAGGGTCGCGGTGGACAGGGCCGCGGCCGACAGGGTCGAGGACACGGTGGCTCTGGACGTGGAAGGGGTGGTCAGCCGCGGTGTCAGATTTGTCGTTCACACGGCCACACCGCCGTCTACTGTTTTAAACGATACACGACTCAACCCCCGGCGCAGACCAATCTCGTTGTCGCCGGCGATGATGCAGCAACAATGGCAGCAAACTCCTGGTTCCCGGATACCGGAGCATAGGCCCATGCTACACTGGACATGTCCATGATGTCGTAGCCCGAGGAGTATACCGGAGGTGATGTGTTGCGAGTCGGTAATGACGTAGGTTTGATGATTTCACACGTTGGCCTTGGAATTGTATTGGATTAGACTTTCTCATCGTCACACAATATTAACAGATTATGATTTAATGACTCTGTATTGTATTCACAAATTCCATTATACAATTGTTATGTGTTTTGACTTAAAAACACAATTTATATTTTAAAAGTTCACAATTCAAATACGAAATATACAAAAAATTTACGTCGTTTAGGGACCAAATGTAAAAATGATTCAATAGTCGTGGGACAAAACATGAAAAAATGAGTTTATTACCGAAATGGTTCCTCGACTATTGTGAAATTACCAATTTGGTCCTTGACAATTTTTCTTACCCAATTAAATCATAGACTTTGAAAATGTTAACCATTTTGGTCCTCCATTAAAATTTCATCCACGAGCTATTAAATTTAAGGACAAAAAGATAATTTCACAAATTTTATTTATTAAAGCCTTTCTTATTCGTCTTTCCACTTACTAACAACTGTAAACCTCCTGGGAACAAAAACTCGTCGACACTGGTGATGAAGAATTCAGTGAACTCTGACGTAAAAGGGGATGAAGAATCCAGTGGCCTCCTCGGGATCCATGGTTCTAGATTGGTGATTCAACATTCGCTCGTGGTAAATCAGTTCCGCGTAGTACATATCCGTCCAGTAACATGCCAGGAGGAGATTCTCGGGAACCACGCTCTCCAGCCCTTTCGCCAGTAGCCCAAATCTGCCATTAGCGACCACCTTACATCTGGTTGCCTTCCAAGGATCCAACTCGTTGCAATTCTCTACGAGCTCGTAGTTGAACATACGCAAAGTCTCATAGATGTAGACCTTGCGGAGGTGCAGTCGTGGCGGTGGGGCAACATATGGTGGTGGCCGGAGGCGGACTTGTGCGGAGATGAATGGATGAGGAAGAAGATAACTCATATTTGGAGAAAGATGGTGGCGAGAAGGAAAACACACTGGTTCTCTGCTCCGTTGCGACGCATATTTGAGCTGAAGCGGCCTGGGTCTTTGCTCCGTTGACTGCTTGTTGCCGGGAATAGACTTAGGTTTTCAAATGAGCTCTTCACCCAAGTGTTGCTTCGCTTCCTCTTCCCATCCAATGAGGCATCTTAGTACCTCACCTTTCCACTAAAATATCTCAGACAGCTCTCCCACTTCCCCTACTAGGACAAGAAGGAGATTTCTTAGGCTATGAAACTGGTCCTGATTTCTTTCCCTCGCGAAATCCGCCATTTTCTTCTGCAACTCTTCTAGTGTCACCTCGTCTGAGGTTCCGTTCATCTCTCTATACTCTTGCAGCTTCTCCTTTCGGGCTCCTCCGTGTGTCGGCGGCGACGCCACCGTATGAGTTGAGACTGTGCTGATCTCTTTTTCTTTTTTCTTGATTTGGGTAATATTTTCCATTTATTAATTATTTAAGTTAATTAATTAGAAATGAGTCTTCTCATGTGAAATACCATCAATGTCCTCCAATTTAACAAACTTTTAACGCCTAATCTAACGGAGGACCAAAATGGTTAACATTTTCAAAGTCGATAACTTAATTGGGTAAGAAAAATTATCGATGATCAAATTAGTAATTTTGTAATAGTTGAGACACCATTTCGATAATAAACTTGGAAGAAATTAACAATTGAGAATCAAAGTGAAAATGATTCAATAGTCATGAGACCAAAAGTGATTTTTTTTTTTTGTTTTTTTTTTTGTTTTTTTTTTTTACCGGGTTAAGACTAAGATAGCATTGCAAGTGTAGAAATGTAATTTAGTCTGAGAGCAGGTCTCGCAGTAAGACGGGCATCTTTTCGTCTTAACACACGACACAGTCGCGACTTCACTACCACTATCCAAATGGCCGCGGAAGCATCTTCCTCGGTGGCGGCACTGGCGACGTCCCCGTTGACGGAGGAGGAGCTGACGCTGACGGTGAAATGGACCGGCAAAGAGTACACCGTCAGAGTATGCGGCAGCGACACCGTCGGCGAGCTGAAGCGACGCATATGTGAAGTCACAAACGTGCTTCCAAAGCGCCAGAAGCTTCTCTACCCCAAAGTCGGCTCCAAACTTGCCGATGATTGCCTCCTCCTCTCTCAGATTCCCATCAAAGCCTCCCTCAAAATGACTATGATCGGGTATCCCCTTCTCTCTCTCTCCGATTAATAATATATTTTGTTTGATGCTGGAGAGAAACCTTCGTGCATTGTTGTTCATGTTGAATTATGTAGACCTAAACCTAAAATCAATTATTTGCTGAATCGTGGTTGTAAACCGCTAATCGCAGCGATTGAAGTGTGTAGTAGTTCATTTTCTTGTTTAGAATTGTTGTATTACAATTGATTGTTCACTCCCATAGTAGCATGATGAAACCTAAAATTGATACCACTGCAATAGTCTTGCTATGACTTAGCCTTTTTTATGTATATTATGTAGCATCTAATCCTTCTAGGAATTATGTTTCATATTCCCATGAACTTTGTTAGTGATACAAACAATTTTATGGCATGAATTAGTTCCAAGGCACATAAACTCTGACCAGTAAGTGCATTCTGCAACTTGATTTTATATGCCATACTCGTCTTCAGTTCTCCATTCCTGTAGTTTTCATTATGTACTAGCTTTTTATGCAGTATGCTAGCTTACTTGATTCTTTGAACTTGGTCTTATTTACAACCCAGGTTTTTAAACAGTTTTTCTCATTGTCAATGGCCTTCTATGAAATGCATGTAGGGATTAGTTTACTTTTGGCATTTTGGTCTTTATACTACTTATTTCCTTTCAATTCTCATATATACCAAAAACTATAATTGAAATTCCCATTAATTCCATTCATGCCTACCAAACAATGGAATTTGAATTCCTACTTTATTCCTTTCCCACGGAATTACAATTCCTTTCCCCTAATTCCCTCCTTGCAACCAAATGGCCTGATATTGTATAAAATTGTCTTAATGACTAACTAATGTTTTGTTGGATTTGCAGTACTGTTGAAGATGAAATATTTGTGGATCAGGTGGATTCTCCAGAACTCGTTGATGATTTTGAAATTGGGCAGGAAGAAGCTGTTGATATTAAAGATAAAGAAGTCAACAAACAGAAACTGAGGAGGCGTATTGAGCAATACAAGGTCAGTGACCTCCCCCCGCCATCAATGTGATGGCTGTCGTTTTCTGGTAAAGTTACACCATGTGGTGTGTTTAAGTTCTTCACAAGTAATATCCAGTTGTGTCTTTGTGTTCTGTGTTCATATACATCCAGTATGCCTCATATTAAGAAATTAAGAAATAATTTTAGATTACCCTCCGTAATCCATGTCGGGAAGGGAAAAAGCTGCTTGTTCTGGATATTGACTATACTCTATTTGATCACCGGTCAACAGCAGAGAACCCACTTGAACTCATGAGACCTTGTAAGTTACTTTTGTGCTTATAGATGTTTTTCTTGAGGCCTGTCTTGGTTGTGGTAAATATTAAATTATCATGTGCAGATCTTCATGAATTTCTCTCAGCCGTTTATGCAGAGTATGATATCATAATATGGTCTGCAACCAGGTCAGAATTTCCTTTCTTGGTCATTGCAATTATGATGATACACTCAACAGTGTGTTTTCTGTAAAAATTGTGCCTTGCATCTGAAAATGATGGATTGGACTATCTTTTTGGGGAGATGGAGATCTTCATGTTCTTCATTGTATTGAATTCAGGCTGGTGTTTCACATAAAATGGGACACTGTAAACTTTGATTCTCAAAAATTGAGCCTAGACTGTCCTGGTTTTAAAGAGCTAGATCATAGCATGTCATATTGTCATCATTTCTATTTCTATGGCCCTTTCAATCAAAGGACTTCTGTGCTTTTGCTCTTTTCTCATTTCAAGAAAAAAGAAAAAGGTCTCCCAATGGAAATGTTTGGTGTTGCATTTCAGCCCTTTGTGCAACTGATCATGTCTCTTTTCTGCCTGCAGCATGAAGTGGGTTGAGTTGAAGATGGGACAACTTGGTGTTCTAAGCAATCCCAACTACAAAATTACCGCAATGCTTGATCATTTAGCAATGATAACAGTCCAATCAGATTCTCATGGAATCATTGACTGCAAGCCGTTGGGCCTAATTTGGGCCAAGTTTCCAGAGGTTCAATTTCTACTTCATTTCTCTTTATTTTGTTCTTAGTCAATATGGACTATGGAGTGTAAGCTTTCAAAAAACGACTTGAATGCTATGTTTGCTTTTCAATTGAAAGTCGAAAACTGTCCATTTTCATGAAATATTTTGCGAACTAAAGGTCTTATGAAATTGCCAATGGGTGGGTAGTGTACTATGCAACAACATAACATTCCTTTTTCTTTAGAACCGATTTTCCTTTACGTACATATGCAGGAGAGTCTTCTCAATTTGACATTTTTTATTGATTGCTTGACCAGTGTCTAAAAGGACCCATTTTTTTTTTACCTGTTGCAGTTTTACAGTGCAAAAAACACTATAATGTTTGATGACCTGAGGAGGAACTTTGTGATGAATCCACAAAATGGTCTGACCATAAAGCCATTCAGGAAGGCACACGCAAATCGGAGCACTGATCGGGAACTCATGAAGCTTACCCAATATTTGCTTGCCATTGCTGATCTTGATGACATTAGTGTCCTCAATCACAAGGATTGGGAATCATACAACGAGGACAACTTTAAGAGACGTCGACACACATGACACTCTGAGCAACCAGACATGTCTGCAGGAAGGTTGAACTAATGTAGCCCTTCAACATTATGTCTCAACTGCACAGATATTTTAGTATTTTACTAGATTGGGTATCCGTTGGTGAAATGTGCATGTCTTGTCTTTTCCTTTTTTCCCCCTCTTCATCTCTATTTTCCAACATCTCCATAAATTTGTGGGAGTAAACTTGAGCCAAATAGAATGATGCACTGCACAAGCTTTGTTCTTTTTACACATTGAAGATATGAAGGGCTTACTTGAGTTACCATATGTAAATGATGTTTGGCATTCTCTCTCTATGCAAATTATACCATGGGTTAAGATTTACCTCGCATTGTGAACCTTGGTATAAAATCACATTCAAATTATATGCATTTGGTTAACAATTATGTACTTTTAGTTAACCATACATAATTTGTTAACTACAAGTACATAATATAAAATGAGTCTACCTTGCACATAATAGACCTGGTCCACAACATTCTTAATTTATGTACTTTAATATATATCGAGTTAATATGGGTAAAGCCAACTAGTTATAGAACTGCATGTTAGTATAGTTAATATATTGGTTATTATTATTATTTGTCTATAGTCTATTTATATGTGGTAGATGATTTAGTCTTGATCTACTACCCTGATAGATAGGAGTCTTTAGTGGTAGTATTCTGATATACCTTCTGTAATTCTTTCAATTGTAATTATTGAAAAATTATCGCATTCATCTGGTATCAGCCAAAATTAAAACGATCCTTTCTCCCTTCTTTGCGCAACCCCCCCCCCCCCCGCCCTCTCTTTGCGATCATGTCGTCTAACTCCTCCGAGAGAACGCCGTCCGCTGCCGGTGGCTCCTCCCCGGCCGGTTGACCGCTGCCGGTGGCTCCTCCCCGGCCGGCGTCAACCCCCTTGCCGGAGCTCATCACTTTATTTCGATGAAGCTCACGCAACGCAACTTTCTCTTTTGGCGCACCCAGTTGCTCCCCTTCTTACGCAGTCATGACCTCACTGGATTCATCGATGGTAGCTACCCCTGCCCAGCGGCGACGGTCTCCTCCCCTGCCGGCGAATCCAGTTCGGTGACACCCACCACCGAGCCCTCTCCGAATCCGGCTTACAAGGTGTGGATGCAGCAGGATCATCCTGCAATCTAATAAAAACAGAAAGGAGAAAAGAGCAGCCACAACACCACCAGATTCCAGAGTAATGAAATCAAACAGTTTCATTATAAATGCCTGCCTATTAAAGGAAAAAGATAAAGAAATGCAGGAATTCAACAGCTGGGAGTTTAGGAAATGGAAATTCCCCAAAATAAATTACATGGTCATACAAGGAGTGAAGAATCATGCTTGAAGCAATCACCTCAGGTGAGTCGACTGCCAGGATGCCACTCCATGGCACAAACCACCAGGTGCATACAAACGTTAGCTATCCTCGAGAAAGAAAAGTGAAAGACGATACAACCATTACAACAGAAATTAAGAGTCGAGCCAGAGAACAAGAACTCAGCTCAATAGCATGTGTCGAAATGGGGTAAAATGAACCGAGGAACACTCGAGAAGAGCTATATTTGTGGTGGTCAGATGTGCATTTGCCCAGACGGAGGAGGGGGGTTCATGGCCGGATCCAGCCTCTTTATTTTTCAAAAGAGAGGTTTTTAAATTGTTGATCAAGATCTCTACTTGTGGTGCGGCGATGACCATGGGATTGTTGCTTCTGTTGCTGTTGGGGTTGTGGTTGTTGCTGTTGTTGATACAAAGCTTTTAGTCTTTCTCTTTCTTTCTCTAAAACTTCATGTTCCACTGCACCCCCCAAAAAAAAAAAAAACAGTGACATTTAATTCATTGAGAGATCATAAAACTAAGCTTTCTGCTGCACTGTTTGAGTTTCTTAGTACTGGTACTATGCAGGACTAATATGAATCTCGGAAAGTAGACATCTAACAAAAGCCTTTCTATTTCCTTCCGATACTTTATAAACACAACATTAAATGATTGACAAAGCAATCTGAAGCCTAATATACTTTCTATTGCAAGAGCACATAACAATTGAAGTGTGTAAGAGCACTTATTCCTGAAAACAAGCAGCTGTTCAAACATTTAACAATATCACCTCACAAGTATGATTTGAACCACCAAAAATAAGGATTAACAACTACTCTTTTCAAATAGCCAAAAACAGAACTAATATATGGCACCATATAGAGCAGTCAATAGAATTAGACCAAGAAATAAGTGGAGATTACTCATTAGAGCTCCAAAATGACTATCCCAAATTCCCAATTATGCAGAACCAGAAGCACCACTTTACACCTAGTAATTAAATATAACAAATGAAGTAACTTACAATACTTTATAAGCTTTTCTTGAGTTAAACTTTCTAAACGCTGCTTTAGCGCTTTATTCTCCATGTTCATGATAAGATTTTGCTGGTTAAGGAATTCAAGCTCAGCGGAAACTTCAGAGCCTTCAGCCTGTAATCAGAGATAAGAGTGATATAAAAAATTATAATAATATACACATCAAAGTCGAATATCTTCTTTATCTGATGTAGGTAAGTGCCTGTAGAGCTTGAACATTCATTTCCAGCTCAGCTATGTATTGAAGCTTCCGGACTCTTGAACGCTGAGCAAATTGCCTGCATAACATAGAAATTCTTGTGAAAATTTAGTTTCGCATAAGAGATTTCTACTAACTCATTCTAATCCAAAATCTTTACTTGATCTAAAACAAGCACTGATATGAGCTACATCAAGCATAGGACAAAAACAAAGTAGTGATGGTCAAATGGGCTGTATATCTACGCACTCAGATGCCATCTACTATAACTTAACAAGGGGATGAGGATTTTGCTATTGGCTAAGATTATAAGACATACTGCCTTGAGTACTTTTTGTCGGTTCCAGAAGAAGAATTCTTGACAAGTGAATCCCACTTCTCAGCAGAGCTGTTTGGATCAGGTGGGCCAGATTCGAGTAGATCCTGCTTGTCAGTTGCTGGAGATTGAGCCCTGTCTCCTTGTGGGGGACATGGTGATCCCGAGCTTTGAACAATAAGATTTTCTTTTGGAGAAGGGATGCCATGTGGATGCATATTTTTATTTGGAGATGCATCTCTTGTCCTGTTCTTGTGTCTATTTGAAGAGTTATGATCCCCATAGAAAGCAGTGTGGTGAGCATCTCCGTGGTAATCAAATTCTTGGGATCCCCACGAACGGATAGGCATCATGTTTCTAAACTTGTTATGATCTTGAACTATGAAATCTAAGTTTGCAACATTAGGAGCATCGTAATGTGTAAAAGAGTCACTTGATGAGCGCCGATGACCTCTACGTACAGGGGTGTCTGGCTCATTAAGAAGATCATCAAGCCAAGATGGCTGCTCCTCTATCAGAAAGCTTTCAGAGGAGGTACGCTGATGGTGTGAATTACCTTCCCTCGGTTTTGGAATGCCTTTGTGACCGAAAGAAGGGGTATACTCAATATATGATGGAGATAAGCTAGGAAATGGACTTTTAGGAGGCAGTAAAGGACTCTTCCCATTGAACATCACATTCCTGATGCTAGATTGTCCCTCAAAATTTGCCATGGTCAATACAAACAATTCCTGTCACAAAATGAATAAAGAGCAAAATCTCAACAAAAGCAGAGATCAGAAATAAAGAAGATAGCTCAGACCAGCAAAAAGGAAAATAGGACATCATTACTACTCACAAGAATCACATGAACTGCACTTTGCAATTAAAGACAGAACCAACCTCCCAAAAAAAAAAAAAAAAAAAACAGAAGGCAAGCCAAGAGAGGGATATTCATTCAAAAGAATTACCATGCCAGAACTTACTTTGTCAATCACAGTCAAATAGATATGAGTTAACCAACAATACGAGATAAAGCAGAGGCCTTTTTTTATTTTTTTATTTTAATGTTAACAAATAAAATTGCTAATTATTCACATGATTATCTGAACATATAAAAGAGCAGAGCCCGACCGAAAATTTCATTTCAATAAATCTCTACTGCATAATCAAACAATAAGTATTAAAAAAAAAACAAAAAAAAAAAAGCTGAAAAGAAAGATTCGACGTTTTTGCAAATCCTTTTACATTCATTGAAGTCCATTTTCATTGAACCAAACAAATAACTTCAAATAAACCACCGGAAACAGAGAATTGCAGGAATACCTAGCTCAACTGGAAGAGATATTTGACTTCGATCGAATGCCAAACGTTCTCCGATCGCGATACAATGTGAATCCGACAGAAAATAATAAAATAATGTAACAAAAATCAGAATCTCACAGTTTATTGGATTTTTATTCCGTTTCTTCTCCTCAACTGGCTTGTATTCGTCGTCTTCTTCTACAGATTCTCTCTCTCTCTCTCTCTCTCTCTCTCTCTCATACATATATATATATATATACTCCGTATATAGTACCAGTCGACCACTACTGCTCTCTACTTCTCGTTGACGTAAAGGAACCAAAATTCGATATGACTTTGCTAATTTTTGTTTTAGCGATCTGACCCCTCCCATTTCTTGATGTCTGTAAAAAGACCCTAACAACAAATTTTTTTTCTCCAATTGTTTGACTTTTTTCAAACAACCAATTTAGTTCTTAGAAAAAAAAAATGAGAAAATTTAAATTTAAATTTTATGAAGAATACCAGGACTATATGGTTTAATGGTATCCGGATTGGACTTCTGTTTGAAAGATTATGAGTTCGAGCCTCAGTGGAGGCGTTATGAGTTTGAGCCTCAGGAGGCGTTATTGGTGGAAAATAAAATATTAAAAGAGAGTAAAGAAATAAATTTTTTTCTCCAAATTTGAGAAATTAATTTTTCATTGAATAAATTTTTCGATCAATCAAAGGTCTTATCTTGAGAGATTTAAATATTAGTCTAGTATATCCAAAAAATAAAAATAAAAATTAGACAAGTTAATGCGCGTCTTACGCACCAGTAGTTCCCAATAGATGTGTCAAGATGGGCGTCAAGCCGCCAACTGGTAGCCACTCTATCTAATGTTTCAATTTTTTTTCCCATTATCTCTCATTCTTTTGTCTTACCTGGCAAGAACATAAACCTGATAAAAAGGCTTAAGTGTTATGATGCTTTTATGTAATACTCCGTATTCAATATCTCACGTAAATAAATAAAAATAAATTCTTTTTCATTTATAATACATGGAATAACAATTTTAACCTATTTTTATTCTGTATTTATATCAATTAATAGTTTTTTTGAACCAAAGCAAATATCAAATACGGAGTAATATTAATAATTTAAGAAAGAGCGGATCTGCATGAGTGCATGCATAGTACCCACTCTTTGTGGTCATGGGCTGTCGACTCTGTGTCCACAGAGAGGAAAACAAATTCCAGACAAACAATATAATGTCGAGGCGCGGCGCGTCTATGAGCTCTCACCTTCCCGAAAAGGAAAAATTGCAGAGCGATGATGATGATGATGAAGCGATTCGGCGAACGAAGAAGATTATTGTACCTGCGAAGGTGAGACCAGCTTGCGAGAACGATTTAAGGATGGGCCGATCGGATAATCGGGAGCTGGAAAGGAGGCGAATGTCGTGCTCGATTGTGTCGTCGTGGCTGAGGTAAAGTTTCGTTCGTCGAATTCTGTTCACATCTATCGCAACTGCGCTCATGGCGCTTTCCGATTAGCTCGATCGCGATCGCTTTTGGCAAATTAAAGTTACATTATTGCATATTCTCGTCGCAGTTCTCCGCTCCTGTAGTTTAAATTGCTTACTAGGCTTCTTATATGCTGTATTCTAGCTTGCTAGTTTCTCTGAGCTAGGGCTTACAACTCGGGTTTGTTTGGCAGTTTTAATTTCCTTGCTCATTGTTATGAAGCCTAACTACAATGAGGAAATAATGGATGTAGGGTTTAGTTTACTTCTGGTATGTTGTACTGTGTATAAATTTTGTTTCCTTAATGACTAACTGACATAATATTTTGTTGGATTTGCAGTACTTTTGAGCTGGATCAAGTGGATTGTCCAGACGATTTTGAAATTGGGCAGGATGAAGGCGTCGAAATGAAAGATAAAGACACCAACAAAAAGATACTGAGAAGGCGAATTGAAGAATACAAGGTCAGCAACACTGTTCTTTATCTATCAAAAAATTATTTTTGGGGCAACCACTCGGTAATCACACGATTCCAAGTTGGACAACCTGAATTGGTTTACCTTTCTAAGTTTAACTTCCAACGGGAGCAGCCTATAATCTTACTTGGTTTGTGCCGGTTAGTTATAATCTTATTTGGTTTGTGCCGGTCAGTTATGGACAACTTAGGCTGGTTTACCTGTTCCAAGTTTAACTTTCAAAGGGAGTGGCCAATAAGCCTAGCCGGTCAGTTATAGGCAACCTGGACTGATTTACCTCGACTTGGTAACTACAAGGTTCCAAGACTTCCCGCAAGAGCAACTTATATGTCTTCTTAGTTTGAATCGGTCAGTTATGGACAACTTAGGTTGGTTTACCTCTCTAGGGTTTGCTAGAGTTTTCTCCTCCCCTAGGGTTTGCTAGGTTTCCGACGGTTTCCTACGTTTTTTCCGGTGATCATCACTGTTTGGCGACGCTAATGAGTACGCTGAGTTGGAACTGCCGTGGCTTGGGTAATCCACGGACAGTTCGAGAGGTGGTGGACATGGTGTCCAAAAAGCAACCCGACTTTGTATTTCTAATAGAAACTAAGGTAGCGCGAGATCATGCTGAGCGTCTTCGTGTTACGATCGGTTTCGAAGGCTTATTTTATGTTGACAATGATGGTTTGAGTGGTGGATTAGCGTTATTGTGGAAGAAGAATAATACGGCGAGACTCCTTAGTTACTCAAGAAACTACGTTGATATTGAGGTAACTATGACAGGTAATCCGGCCTGGAGAATGACGTGTTACTATGGTTATTCGGACCGTAATAGGCGTGCTGAATCATGGGATTTGTTGAGAATGTTGGCGGCAAAATCGAATCTCCCGTGGGTGGTGGTGGGGGATTTTAATGATTTGCTATACCAGTATGAGAAGAGAGGGGGAAATCCACATCCGAATAGCCTTCTTCGAGGTTTTGGGGAGACGATTGAGGATTGTGGATTGGCCCAGTTGCCAATGATTGGATACCCATATACCTGGGAGAAGGGGAAAGGGACTGCAAACTGGATTGAGGAGAGACTTGATAAGGTCCTAGTAACGAACGAGTGGTGCAATATAATTCCCCATGTAAAGGTTATGAATTTGAGAACCAGGAAGTCAGATCATTCAGCCATTTTTTTCACAGTTCAGGAGGAGGTAGGGAGGGATGGGGTTAGAAGAAGGGGTTTTAGGTTTGAGATGGCATGGTTATATGATGAGGGATGTAGGGGTGTGGTGGAGCAGGCGTGGCAGGAAGGGAGAGGGCAGGGTTTACAGGGTTGTGTTCAATACTGTGGAAACCGGTTAACACGATGGGGTGGGGATCGGTTCCATAAGTATGGGAAACAGATTGTGCAGCTGAAACGGGATCAACAACGTTTGAGAGGATGCACTGACTCGGCCTCTCTTGTCGAGTTTCAGCGAATAGAGCAACTTCTGAGTCGCACTGAGGCCCAGGAGGATGCATACTGGAGGCAGAGAGCCAAGCAGCACTGGCTCAAGGAAGCTGACGCCAATACCAAATTCTTTCACAGGTATGCCTCTCACCGAAAGAAAAAGAATACTTTACTTAGATTAATGAATGACAATGGGGATTGGTTGGAGGGGGATCCCATGAGAGATATCATTCTGGACTATTTTAAGAATATTTTCAGCTCTGGGGGTCCGGGAACTGGAGATGATTTTTTTGGGGGGATAGAACCCAGGGTATCACAGGCGCAGAATGACTCACTATTACGACCATTTAATCTGGAGGAAGTAAAGGATGCATTGTTTGCAATGTATCCGGATAAAGCACCAGGACCGGATGGAATGAATCCGGGTTTTTATCAGCTGGGATGTGGTAGGAGGGGATGTTGCGAGTTTTGTGCTAAACTGTCTTGAATCAGGTGACCTCCCATCTGGCTTGAATGAGACAGATATTGTGTTGATCCCTAAAAAGAGTAATCCAGAGTTAGTAACTGATTTGCGCCCTATAGCACTTAGCAATGTCATTTACAGAATAATAGCTAAAATGATGGCTAATAGAATGAAGCCTTTGATGGAAGGAATAATATCTGAGACACAGAGTGCTTTTATCCCAGATAGATTGATAACAGATAATATTCTATTAGCTGCAGAAGTGGGGCACTTTCTGAATCGAAAACAGTGTGGATTGAGGGGCTGGGGTGCACTTAAGCTGGATATGGCTAAGGCGTATGATCGAATGGAGTGGCCTTTTCTCCGTAATATGATGATGGCATTGGGTTTCCATGATAGATGGGTTGATTTGATTATGAAATGTGTGACCACAGTCTCCTATAGTATTCTGATAAATGGCTCAAGGAGTGACCCAATAATACCCACGCGTGGTTTGAGACAGGGAGACCCGCTATCCCCATATTTGTTTATTATCTGTGCAGAGGGACTCTCGTTGTTACTACAACAGGCTAACAGAGCGGGATTAATTCATGGATGTAGGGTAGCAAGAGGTGCCCCTCAGATTTCTCATTTGTTTTTTTGCGGACGATAGCCTTTTATTCTTTAAGGCTAATGTGGAAGAGGCTAATGAGATAAAGAAATGCCTGACTGTATATGAGGATCTATCGGGACAGGTGGTTAACTACCACAAGTCGAGTATTTGTTATAGCAGGAATACGAGTAATGTGGATAGGGAAAGTGTGGCCCAAGTTTTGGGGGTGGAGCAGGCACCAAACTTTGGCAAGTATTTGGGTCTACCTTCGTTTGTGGGTAGGAATAAAAAGGCAGCTTTTGCATATATTGAGGATAAAATACGCCAAAGAATTGGGTCGTGGAATAAAAGGCTATTGTCTCAGGCAGGGAAAGAAATACTGTTGAAAAGTGTGGCACAATCTATGCCTACCTTCTCAATGAGTGTTTTTTTGCTACCTATATCAGTATGCACGGCTATAGAAAGAACGATGAATAGATATTGGTGGGGTTCTGGGACGGACAACCGAGTTCACTGGAAGGCTTGGGACAAGCTATGTGTTCCTAAGAAGTATGGTGGATTGGGTTTTAAGGGCCTACGTGCATTTAATCTAGCTATGTTGGGGAAACAGGCATGGCGAATGCTCACTAAGCCTGATTCCTTAGTAGCTCGTGTTTACAAAAGCCGATATTTTCCCAGGGATACTTTCTTTGATGCGCAGGTAGGAAATAATCCCAGTTTTTGTTGGCGGAGTATAATGGCATCAAAGAGCATAATTTGTAGTGGGGTCAGACGAAGAATTGGGAATGGGGAAACTACATCTATATGGACCCATCCATGGTTACTGGATGACCAGGACCCTATGATACAAATAGAGATGCCTATACAGTTACGAAAGGCCAGAGTAGTGGGGCTAATAGATCAACAAACTGGTACATGGGATAATGAAATTTTATCAGATTTATTTCAACCTACGGATGTCGAGAGAATTATGAGAGTACCTGTATCCCGGGATTATAATGATGCATGGTATTGGTACGGGGACCCGAGAGGATTATATTCTGTGAAAAGCGGGTACAGACGATTGGTGGGAGATTATGAGAATAATCAAGGCCCCTTTACTAATTGGTTAGCTTTATGGAGACTAAAAATTCCACCAAAGTGGAAAATGTTCCTCTGGAGAGATATTTGTGATATTTTGCCTACAACTACGAACTTGCTTTTAAAGAGGGTGGAGGTGAACCCATATTGTGCTATGTGTGGGATATCACATGAGAATACAATGCATGCATTAGTCTTGTGTGATTTTGCAAGAAACATTTTGGATCAATCCAACCTTACAATCCCCAATATTGTCACGGATATTTTTCATGTTTGGTTTGGGGAACTTCTAAATATTTTAGATTCTGATGGAATGTTATATGCAGCATCAATTCTATACAATATTTGGAAAGCTCGAAATGGTGCAGTTTGGGAGGCGTTTTTACCACGCCCGGGGTCCCTACTCAGAGCCGCAGCGGCAGCCAAGACCGCATGGACTCAGTCCCGCCCAGCCGTGGCTGCCACTGCCACTGCTACGCTGCCAACAGAAAACCGCCACGCTGCCCAGGCGAGTCCCACCGCCGGCCGCGGTGCCGCCGACGCCGCCGGATCCTCTGTGCCGCCAGTGAGAAGATGCAGGGTCGATGCGGGATATCTACACGAGACAGGGAATGCAACTGTAGGGGCCGTTTTATTAGATGGAGATGGAGCCTATATCTCGGCACTAACCGCGCCGCTACCGGCCTGTACGTCACCACTTATGGCTGAGGCTTTGGCGTGTAAGGAAGTTTTATCATGGCTAAAGGATCGAGGTGAACAGAATATTGAGATCTACACGGATTGTTTGACACTACAACGCTAACTTACATCATCAACCACTGCGTTTCGCTCTTACGTTGGCTATGCCATTGATAGCTGCAGGCAAATTGCCGTTTATTTTCACTCATGTTCTTTTAATTATATTTCTAGATCGGACAATTATTTAGCTCATGCTTTAGCCACTACGGCTTATCAGCAACCTGATACTATGTACTGGGATACTCACCCACCAGACATTATTTCAGCATTTTTCTAATGAAGCACCGCAGGAAATTTTCAAAAAAAAGGTTGGTTTACCTCATTTGCAGGCTACCCATTACTCAATGCACACCCTTGGGTAAGGGTAGTGACGGTGGGTTTCCTTGTCACCCAAAAAAAATTATTTGCTATAATTATTCACTAGGATGTTGCATTGTATGATGAGTAAAATTACCTTGTAGTGTTTAAAGATAATATAACCCTGAAATGAAAGATGCTTTGCTATTTGTGCCAAGTGGTGTTCTTACAAGTAATTTCTTGTTGTATCTTTGCATTCTTGTGTTCATATACATCTAGCATGCCTCATATGAAGAAGTCATTTTAGATTACAGTCCAAAACCCATGTCGGGAAGGGAAAAAGCTGCTTGTTCTAGATATCGACTATACTCTAATTGATCACAAGTCAGCAGCAGAGAACCCATATCAACTCATGAGACCTTGTGAGTTACTTTTTGCTTAGATGTTTTTCTTGCTGCCTATCTTGGTGGTCATAATTGATATCTTATCATATGCAGATCTGCATGAATTTCTCTTGGCTGTTTATGCAGAGTATGATATCATCATCTGGTCTGCAACCAGGTCAGAATTTCCTCCCTGGTCATTGCAATTATGATGATATATTCACCATTGAATGGTTTGCTAAAAAGATGATATATTGCCTCTGCTTCCTAAAATGATGTATTACGCCATATGTTCAGAAGATAAAGATCTTATGCACTGCACACTGCACTCATCATTTCTATTTTTATGAGCTTTCTATCTAAAAAGTTTCTGTTTTTTTTTTTTTTTTTTTTTTTTCGAGAAAAAAAGTAAAAGGTCTTCTTCAATGGAAGTCTTTGAGGTAGCATGCATTTCAGTCTTTTGTGGGAGTGATCATGTCTCTTTTCTGTATGCAGCATGGATGTGATTGAGCACAAGATGGAGCAATTTGGTATTCTCAACAACCCCAACTATAAAATTACGGCAATGCTTGATCATTTAGCAATGATAACAGTCCAATCAGATACTCATGGGATGATCAACTGCAAGCCACTGGGCCTAATTTGGGCCAAGTTTCCCGAGGTTCAATTCCAACTTCTTCCTATTCTTCTTTGTCAATATGGAGTATAAGCTTTCAAAATATGACTTAAATGCTATGTTTGCTTCCTAATTGGAAGTTGAAAACTAATGTCCACCTTCAAGAAATGTTTAGTGAACTAAGGAGGTGTTTGGTTTAAGTAATGTAAGATACTCAGGAAACTCACATAACCTAAGAATGTGGGAGGAATGTGATTCCCATGAAAACTACCAAAAATGAACTAAAAACGAAGTGGGAGAATCTCACCTTTAAAGGTCTTATGAAATTCAAAAATTTCCAGTGGGGCAGGTGGTGTACTATACTACTATGGAGCAACAGAAATTTCCTTTTTTCTTTAGATTTCCTTTTATTAGGGTCTAAAGGGGCCCTGTTTTTGACCTGCTGCAGTTTTACAATCCAAAAAACACTATAATGTTTGATGACTTGAGGAGGAACTTTGCGATGAATCCACAAAATGGTCTGACCATAAAGCCGTTCAGGAGGGCACACTCGAGTCGAAGCACTGACCAGGAACTCATGAAGCTTACCCGATATTTGCTTGCCATTGCTGATCTCGACGACTTAAGTGCCCTCAACCACAAGGATTGGGAATCATACAAAGAGGATGATTTAAAGAGAGGTATACGTGCATCTCAACGGCACCAGTATTTTACTAGGTTGGGTATCACAATACCTTTTTGGGGAACGTACATGTCCTATCTTTTTCTACTTTGTTTACCTTTATTTTCCAACATCTCCAGACATTAATGGGGGTGAAAGCAATCCAAGTTAAACAATTCACTGCCCAAGATTTGATCTTTTTATCCATTGAATGGCTAATCTTTTTTCTTTCTATTTCTATTGCCCGATGCTCCACTTCAAACAGCAGTAGCAACATTCATTTCATAGAGAAGATCGATAATGAAACTAAGCTTTCTGCTGCACAGTTTGATACTTGAAGAAAAAAAAAAAAAAAAACTCAGCATAGTGTTCAAATGGGACATTTGTTTGCCAAACACAATTCAGAAAAATTACAAGAAAATGAAAAGGGTTATTGGTTGACAAAGGCAAATGGATGTAATTAAGTAATAATCCAAGAAATTTGCCTGTTAACCGGCTGAGAATTTAGTACCTGTGTATGTGAAGAAGAGGAGTTGAAGAATCATGATAGCAGCTTCTTCCACCTAGCATATCCTAGGATAACAAAGAAGACAATTGTACAGCCTACGGTGATCCCAGCAACAAAGGGCCAAAATACGCCATGGCTGTCGTATAGGGTGCAATGGATGTTCATACCAAACCATCCTGCTATCAAGGTTTCTACAGCTATGGCAAATGATGCAATGGTCAATGTCAATTGCAGCTGAATAAGTTCGTTACGCTGGTTGTCCAGCTGGATGTTGACATAATCTTCTGTATCATCTATGTACTCACGCACCTGAGATTCCACGAAGAAAAAAGCCCCTGAGCTAAAAGTGGTCATAGCCACACTTTGTTTGCTAATAATTACCAACACTGTAAGTCATAAGTTAAACAAGGGTTCCCATCATCTTAAAGGAAAGAGATTTTTATCATTTTAACAGGAAATCAAGGGCTTCCAACTTAACACTGCAAAGGAGTAAAAGCTCCAAACCAAAATTGCAATCCCCATTACGAGTTATGACTAAAAGTTCCAAACTGAGATTGAATTTTGTCTCATATGCACTTTTTTTTATAGGAAATCTTAATTTGAGCTTTTGCAACCCTGCAACCTTCTAAAGGTTAAAATAAGAGTGCAAAAAAGAAGGTAGAGGTCCCCACTAGACTAACACCATCTGGATCTATTTACATCTTTATTTGGCGACAACAGATTAAAGATTTATCTCCTTTCTTAATTGGGGGGAAAAACCTCAGATGTATCAGCATCATATCCGGACCCTTCCTTATTAACCTAACAAAAAGACTAAGCATTTATCATCTGTATATACCACAATAAATGTCTGTTTAAAAGATTTTCAACCAAATTTTTTAGAATAAAAACAATAAATGTCTGTTTAAAAGATTTTCAACCAAATTTTTTAGAATAAAAACAATAAATGTCTGTTTAAAAGATTTTCAACCAAATTTTTTAGAATAAAAAGAACTTGAAGAGTGCAAATGACCACAAATAGTTAGCAAAACTTTTAGGGAAAGAAATACTCACAGACAATATCTTATTACGTGTGCCATCCAACTGCACGAAGTAAGCCTCCAGCAACATTTCTAGATCCTCCACATCATGGTCATTTAAGTTGCTTCTGAAACTTCCACTTCGGGTGGAACTAACCCTTCGAAGATTAGGCACAATGGGAACAATGCTATTCGAACCGGTAGTCCCTGACAGTACAGCATCAGATTGCTGATTCTGAATCCATTTTCTAGTCAAGTATAACTGGGCCATGTCTTCATTGTCATCTAAAAGGTGTTCAATTTCATCTCTCACCTGCCACCAAATGTATTTATCTCAACCAACCAAAATAAGCAATATGGCTCTCATTTCTGAATTTATCTAGTAATGATTTTGGTCCAAGCCAAAATCCTGTACATTAACAACACTTCAGTGACAGCATAAGCCCAAGCAAACCAAATTACACAGACCGTGAGATTGATACACAATAACAGTAATGTTTGAATTGACACACATCACATGCTCTTCCAATAGCTTGGTTAAAATATTTACTACCAGCAGTATACAGTTTACATTTTGATTTGCGTTCAGAAAAATATATGATGCCATTGGCCTCTTTTACAGTTCACAGTGATCAAGATAATAGCTTCATTAAAAAGGATCCCCAATTCTTCATTGATCCACAAGACCTGGATTCCATATTGAGGGTACACCTCGAACCCTTAGAAATTTGAGTCAGGTTCTTAAGACAGGAAATCGGGTTTTCTGAATGTTGATTTAACATAAACACAATATACATCATCACTGACACAAGTCAATATAAACACAATGTACCCATCTTCCAAAAGTTATTCAAAGGAAGCTCTTGCTCCTAAATGATTCTTCTAGGAACAGGATTATTCTTCAATGGCAAAAACATAAATGTGCTCAATAAATTTTAAATCCATTTATATATTAAAGGATGTATTTTCTTTCTTGATATCATCAAGAAGTGCGTAACAAAGCTAAAATGAAGCAATGATAAGAACAAAATCCAAATATTTGTACACATTGTCTAAAGGAAAAAAGTTGTTAAGAAATAATGAATTGAGGCTTAAGATCTGCCACCACCCTGCGGTTAGACAGAAGTATGTTTTAAGCAAGTAGAAAAGCCTAGGATCAATTGCTTGATTAGCTTGGTTAGAATAGCCGAGTATTTATGGGCTATGAGAGACATAAAAGAGTCTAGATTCATGTTTCTTTTTTCCACATCATGTGACAATTGTGAGACATAGACTCTTCAAGTTACTCTGACATTTTAGTTCACAGAATGTGTTAAATAAAGTTATAAAGAAATCTGACAACTCCACATTTACTAGCATAAAGAAATACGGAGTAACAAAAAGCCTACCTTTTGTACACGTGCAAGTAATCGGGTAAGATTACTTTTTAAAGTCCTCACGTGCTCAAGATTCCTCGTGCTAACACTCTTGGCCAGTTCATCCAGAACAGGGTAAGCATCTCTCTCAAGTTCCACCACGCTAGAATCCAAATATGTGCAAACAATCTCTAAAGCAATCTCCAGAACATGAAACTCAAATGGGAGCTCAGCCTGCAATCCTTCGACAGCTTCCAGCACTGGAAATTGGAAGTCATCATGTTGTACAACACTAGCTTCAGCAGTCAGGGAATGATTGCTCAGAGGGAGTTGTTGCCTCAGTTGAGCAACAAATGGAAGAACCTCCTGACATAGAGGATCAAGCAACAAAACCTCTTCGGCTGTAACTATAGCTTTTATGAACTCCAAATTAATAACTATGGCCTTCTCCCTAGCTGCAATGAAGGGAGAAAGACAATCTTTTCAGAAACTTCAGTAAACAAGGGGAAGAAGAAAACAGATTCCTCCAAGGGATGGACCTATACCTAATACATAGGATTCCCTAGGGATTCATAACAAACAGCAAAGACCATGTAAACATAGTTTTGGTACAAAAGAAAAAGTACTCAAGTGAACACTGCAATGCATAGCATGTGCTTTCAGCCAGTACAGAGGCAATTATGAGAATGAGATACAACCATTAAATGCTTGAAGAACAACAGACTACTAAACTGTTAATATACTCAGTATGAGATACATCCAACCACGTTCACCTTGCATCATAACCTAGAATCAGGTCACTATTTCCAACCCTTTCTACTGTGAATTTCATACGAACTAAGTCTAGAATGCATATTAGTACTAAGGAGCATCATATTAAACTTGTTCCACAAACAGACTTGCCTGGCTGCACCCAGGAAACCATATCTAATCAAATATTCAAACTTATCGCAGAAACACAAGCGAAATGAAACCTTGAACTATACACGCGCGCACAGACCATAGTAGATATATACACAGGGCGAGAGAGAATACCGAGAATGTTTGAGGAGTGAGAAAATATAGGGCCGAGGATCCTCAAGTCCCTAGCAGGAACAGATGCGCGCTTGATGATAGCGCCCTTATCGCACTCAATCAGCTCCGATTGTCCGGCCCTGTCGAACCTCATCCACAGCCTGGTCCCGCCCGCCTTCTTCTTCACCGGCTTGCTCGCCGCTGCACTAGACGCGATCAAATTCGCGCCGCCATTTTCGATCACCGTCGCCGTTCCCTTCTTCCTCCTGCGTAACGTGAACTTTCCCTTCCCCATTCCAGTCCCCTCCCTCGAGAAATTCTATCCGCGTACATATACGTAATACTCATACGCTAAGCGTATATCAGTTCATTTGAGCTATCGATCGAGGAAGCCTCTTCTCCGTCGTCGTCTTCTTCTTCCATATAAGGAACACCGCGCATGAGATCAGCCGCTCAGTGACGTCGTTGACTTTTTTTTGAGTTCTAAACTTCTAGGGGCCGTTTGGTTCACGGAATGTCAGATTACCTTAGGGAATGTTAGATTGCTGGGAATGTTAGATTACTGGGAATGTTAGATTCCTGTGTTTGGTTAAAATTGGGGTATGTAATATAATCATGTTTGGTTTAGGGTTATCTTTTATACACACTATAATATCCTTAACATATTTTCATATATTTTAATAAATTTAAAAATTAAAATAAATAAATAAGATAACGGTATCATATATAATTACATGATTTTAAAATATTAACTCTAAACTTTTGAACTTGAGAAACAAAATTATTTTATATGCTAACATAACATAATAAAAATTAAAAAATATATAATTACAAATATATATATATATATATATATATAAACTAACATAACCAAGGTTATCTTACATTACCTAAGATTTTGAAGGGAATCACATTCCCTTCAAAATCCTATGTGGAAGGAATGTGACATTCCTTGGGAATGTTACATTCCCTAAGATAATATGAACCAAACACTGTTATGTGAACTTTGGAATGTTACATTCCATTGGTTATGTTATATAACCTGAACCAAACGCCCCCCTAGGCTTACCTTTAATTGCTGGTCGGCGGAATATTCCCAATTTTCTATTTATTGGCTCTTATATCTCTTTTTTTTTTTTTTTTTTTTTTTTGAATGCTACTAGCTCTATTACATTGTAGTATCTGTTCATATTATATCTCTTTTTATTTTTACATGTTTTTTTTTTTTACATGCTAATTATAACATGTGTTTGATTAGACGGAAAGAATTAGAAGAAAATGAATTATAATTCGGTATAAAAAAATAAGGTAAAAAATCAAAATAAGTTGTTTTTTTTTTTTTTTTTTTTTTTTTTTTTTTTTTTTTTTTTTGTGAAGGGAAAAGTAAGTAATTTTATTAGAATAAATGTTCAATACAAGTAGGAATAATAGATAACCAGTTCAGAGGACCAGTTTGTGAACGAGCTGCTCTAGCTAGAGTATGAAAATTCAAAATAAGTTGTTTATTAGTGAAGAATATAATTATTGAGAATGAAAGGGAAAAAAGTGATATAAAAACTAAAATGCCGTAATAATAATAATAATAATAATAATAATAATAATAATAATAATAATAATAATAATAATAATAATAATAATAATAATAATAATAATAAAAAGGATAATTTAGTTATTTTCTTTGTGTTTTTCCTTTCCAAGATGCATTGAATTTCAATTCCTAGGAGATACATGAAATGCAATTCAACAAATGGAGATAATTGCAATTGAACACTGTAGTTTCTATCTCCGCTAAATTACATTGTAGTTGAAATGGAATTCATGTCAACCAAACACCCTCTAAACAATTATCAAAATTGACAATACAATTCGCTAATCGTTAATTGTGACAAAGTCAACATCTATTTTTGAGTGACGAAGAAAATTGCATCCACTATCAAAGAGTGTACATCAGGCAAACTCCGTCTTATATTTATAACTGACTAAGGATTATCATGAAATAAACTAACTTAAATTGCCTATAAACGAATAAGCTACTCCCATTATGAGGAGTTGAACTTATAATTTTGTAATTACCAAGACAAAAATCTAAACAACTTTGCTAGGGTTGCCAAAAATCAACATCAATGTCTACACAATTCATTCACTATTGATTGCCAAACAAGGTCATATATTTATTTACCAACATCTCTTGCTACTTCTTGACCAAGTAAAGTGTATTGAGTGGAGCCAAATCTAAACAATCAAAATTTAAAACTCAATAAAAAAATCAATTTGTTACTCAAACAACTTTGATGTTGGCTTGACAATAATCAAGTAGTGGCATGATACAATGTACACACAAATGAAATGTATTAACTTACCACATTTCAGGGATGAATAACAGCAAGAACATAATGACAATAATAATAATTATTATTATAATAATTATAATAATTTTCTCAAAATCACCAGTCTGGTACAAGAATCAAAGTCATAGCCCGCACGGCCTTAGCTCAATGGTTCAGTAGGCAGTATTTGGAAGAAGAATTAGAGTCATAATACTACTATTATATCAAAGTAAAACAAGAATGGGATTTGTTCCCAATGTCAAAAATCTACACAAGAATGAAAACCACAACTTCATAGAAGGAAGTGGCAATGAAGCATATGGTGGCGCCCCCCGAGCTTCCTGTGCTCTTGCAAACACAAGCAATTTACTATTGGATTCATTCGCGTACTTACTTGAAGCTCTCGCGTTGTTTCTCGTGCATCTGCATTTGCGTGCCAATTATGTATCCAGAAACTGGGTTCTTGTCAAGGCATGCAGAATTCAACAGCTCTAGAGGCTCGGCCTTGACAAACTTTTGACCAATTTTGCCTTGCGTTTCAACATTCATGGGGGTTTAGTTTAGTCCCTTAAAAACTGCCCCTTGTACTAGCCTCGATGTGCAAAGTCAACAAGATCACACCGGCTAACACATAGATTCAACAGAGAGCGCAGTGTCATAAGACGCATATATGCAGATGCTTTCACAACATTGAAATACTCTAGAATCTCGGTGACATCTGTTCTTCAAAGGAACAACATCACGAATGACAAAAGCAGGTGTTTTGCCCTTAATATTTTTTGGGTGTACCCAGGGTTTCCACCGTCGGACATAGTGACTAATCCCCTCTCTGGATTGTAGGTAGTAGGCACCTCTTTTGCCCTTAATATTTGAATAGCCTGCAAAATTAACGGTCAACACAAGTAACTAATTCAATACTAGAACATTTAAGCTTTAGAATTTAGAGCATAAATTGAATTAAGTTTTGTTCAAAATTTTGCATGCAACAATGAATAAGAGACAATATGTAAAAGTTTCAGGTATAAAGTCCATTAACGAAAGGTTCAAACGCAACTTTAGCCACTAAAAGTGAAATTCAACTTTTAACTAATGACTTAATTCAGTCTATTATAGATGTAATCCAATTATAACTATCGACTCAATTGAACTAATCCTTCACACCAATCTAGACAAGGTCAGCTACATTTTTGTCCTCACTAATGATGTTATCTGCATGCTTTCTTTTTTGCCTTCACTCTACTGTTAACATTTTGTTTTAATGTGGTGGGCCCATGGGAAGCGATGTTGGGGAAAATATATTCGGGTGTAGAGAAAATACAGAAAAAACAAGAATCAAGAACTTTAGGCGTGTATACCATACACTTTCCTAAAGTTTTGAATCACACTGTATGAGCAACCTGGGTCTCAAATAAACCTTGTGAGATACAAGAAGTTGGCAAATTAATCAGGTTACAACGAGTTATTCAGCAAAGGTAGAAAAAGAGGAAGAAGTCTCAAAAGTTTCTTGAACTTATACTGCATATACAACCACCCTCAGACATGGAGGTTACGGGAAGTTTAAAAACCTCCGTTACCACTACTCTCATGAATAAGACAAAATTCCGTTACCACTACAACAAATATGTAAATTATTCACAGATTAAATATATGTAAAATTGATCAAGAATTTATTATATTAGCAAATATAATAGAACTAGTAGTCTAAAACAACAGACAAGTATACAAACCTCTACTAGTTTATAAGTAGACTTGTCCAGCAGACCTGCATGCACGAAAGCCTTTGATGGACAATTAGCATACCAGCCCGGCAGGTAAGGGGTGTGTTGCATACTAGTCTGGCAGACCGTCATGAAAGGGTCTGCTGGATCAATCTTTGATGGTATACTGGTCCCTGGCCAAAGTTTTCTTCGATCCCAGAGACTTGCGGAAATATCTGTCCGTTTGGAAATATCTATTGATATCCCAAGGTTTACCGTTTGGGAATATCTACTGATCCCCAAACCCAAAGTCTATTGTTTGGGATAGATGTGGATTCACCAAATTTACCGTAAACATGCCTGGGAAAGTCAAATATTAAAACTCAATTAATCTCAGAAAAATTTATCTTCTGAAGTATGAATCAAAACAAAGAAGATTAATTCTTCTCAATAAATAACAAAATAACCACCATTATTGATCAAGAAAATAACAAAGATTTCTACCAACTTAAAACAATATTTTAACTCCACAACACCAAAATATTATTTAAGTTCCCGGTACACATACCATGTCTGAAACTTTAATATTCATTATTACTATATAAATTTTCCAACTAGTGAGGTTGATTGTAGGTTTATATTATGGAAGGCACTTGCCATCCGAGGAAACTAATTCTCTCCTTTCCTATTTCTAGTAGTTCTTCGGTAGCACATTAGGAATGTCAACGAAATTGGTAACAGTCATGGTGTGTTTGGAGGCATCTGAAATTGGTAACAGTCAACAAAATAGCACATTAGGAAAGTATCTGAAATCGGTAGCAGTGGAATGACGGGCATATCCACAACTTCAGATACACAATTAAATTTGCATGTTATGGTGTGTTTGGAAGAAATACAAAACCTTCCCATGGGCAAAGAGTTGTGGTCAACAACACCAGAATCATAAATGTGCAGTTGAGGAAAGACAAGGAAAAGGATTCCATATATAGCGGGTAATTGAAGGAAAAATAATAAGAGAAACTCTATCCTTCACAAGGCCAACACTAAAAAAAGTTTACCAAAACCACCATGGAAAGAGAAATTACACAATGTTTGGACAGACTTTACACAAGTACAGGAGAGTAACGGTCAACGACCACGAGTATAACCAATTAGCTACCCTTGTCTGGTAACATAATGGTCCATTACACGCATCTATACCCTTGTCCAGTGAGTGCAACTGTACAAGGAATTATTCAAGGAGGTTCCTTGCATGCATGTATCTGAAAAATAAATGACGTTCATCAAATCACCTTGTTGTATTTGCTCTTGAACAACTTCATGCATATCATTTCCACCCTGCATAAATGATCAGTCTATTCAAGGCCACCCACCTAAATGACTAAAAAAGACACATTCAACAAATAGTCTCAAAAGCATGCTGCAAAAAAATAATTAACACAATTATTCAATTAGTCAGCCAATGGGCAGTGGAAAGGTTTAAGTTACCTACTTTTGTACATTTAGTGATGCAGTAATTCAGGAACTGAAAAGTGCAAGCACCTATTATCCCAGCGCAGTCTTATCTCCATGCCAATACGGAGTCCCTTTTCTCTAACGATCTTTCCCCACTTACCAATAAGGTTATAGTAGCTACCACGCCATCTCAACTTCATCAAGTAGAGGTCACCAGTGTCTTCATCTTGACCATTAACATCCATTTGACGTTCATTTCTCAGCTGCTCCCTGGCTTGTGGTGTCCAGTAAAAGAGAATATGATCTTCAACTGCTTTGCCCGGCAGAGTAAGGAATGGATGGCTGGTATCCACATCAGATAAGGTCAGTGCCTTCTTAATTGGCCAATTATCTTGCACTGAACTTGTTGCAACATAGTGCTCTTGGCGAACTGAAAAGTACAAGCAGTCATTTGTCCAACATATTCTGATCTCTTCCCCAACACCAAGCCCTTTCTGTCGAATGATTGTCCCCCATTTCCCAATAAGGTTATAGAAATTTCCCCTCAATTTTATTTTCATTTGATAAACTTCTCCACTATCATAATCCCGGGCATTCACATTCACATGGTCTTCGTTTCTTAACTGCTCTTGCAGCTGCGGTGTCCAATGCACAAGAATATGATCCTCAACCAGTCGGCGTGGCAAAGGAAGAAATGGATGATTTGTGTCCACATCAGACACAGTCAACACCTTCCTAATAGGCCACTGGTCATGCACTACTAGTGCATGTGCTGCAACCATTCGGACAGGAGTAACCACTGCAGGAATCAGCTGCTGTGGGGCAGAGAAGTGCAAGTACCCATTGTCCCAGCGAATTTTAATCTCTTGTCCGACATCAAGTCCTTTGCTTCGGACAACTCTACCCCATTTGCCAATAAGGTTGTAATAACTCCCTCGCCACTTCAGCTTCATGCCATACATCTCACTTGTGTCATCATCTTGAGCATTAAAATCTATATGCCCTTGGGCTCTCAAACTCTCCTGTTGCTGGGGTGTCATGTGGACAACAATATGATTTTCCACTTGCTGCCGAGACAATGTAAGGAATGGATGTGTGATATCCACATCAGACAACGTTAGTGACTTCTTGATAGGCCAGGCCTCATCAACTTGAGGACCTTGAGGTACACCACTGTAATATACAGTTCTCCTCATCCCTTAACAACAAAAGAACACATGACAAGAATAAGAACGTGTCGTGCAATCAGTATTCAGTAAATGCTTATCAAATACATAAAAAGCTTATACGCAAAACTGTAAAGATGCAGAGGGTTGTAAGTAATGCATCCACTATTAAGCAAGGCTAATCATTCAGCATAAAAGAAGTACAACAACATATAAATACTAAAAATAGCATTCCATTATAAAATCCAAACGTTATAGAAGTAATGAATGCCTTATTCCTAGTTTATAAATCTGAAACTCCAAAAATAAGTTTTAAGGGGTTGAAGTCCCAACTGCAGGTTAACAAAGCCTGGCCCTGAACCACTTGGGCCAAGGGTCATTGCCGTGTTCAAACCATGACCAAGCAACTGTTTCAAGCACATCCATAATCAGCTTAAACCCCTAACAACAAATTCTTTTCACTTTTCAGTACCTCAGGAGCACATATAAAGCAGAAAATTTTCATTTCCTGTGACCTTCAGCTAACTATTTCTTCACACAATCAGTTAACTGAAAACTCACTACTCCAAAATCAAAACAGGAAATTTATGCAAACCCTAGAAAGTTAACTAGAATCAATAAGTAGTACAAGAAAAACAGCATATGGGTTTCTCATGTAACATTTCAGTATCTTCATCAGATAATGCTAACACTAACATCAATTTCAAACAAACTTACTTCTAAAAATTCCCTCCAAGGAATGCTGAATCACACAGCATAGAAAAAAACATTAAAAATTAAACAGAGAAGACCAAAATCTTACCTAAAAGGCTAAAACCGGTTGGCAACTATTAAGAACAGAAAGAAATGTGGGTCTTGGTCAACTTAGGAAACAGGGAATTGCGAAATTTTAAGGTAAATCAGGTTTTTATAAAACAGAAGATATAACAAAAGGTAAAAAAGGGAAATAGAAAAAGTATGGAAGGAGATCACAAGGGTTTGAAGGGCCAACGAGAAGATGAAGGATGAATATCACATTTTGTGAGAAGGAGAAGAATGTGAAGGGAGGTGGTTGTGGGTCTGGGCAGAAGAAGATGGTGGTGCTGTACAGTGATGAATACGACGATTGTCATGTTTTTGGTTTGACGGTGATGATGAGGAGGCTTCGAAGTTTGTGTGAAGAAAATGGGGGTAAATGAGTTTTTTTTTTTTTTTTTTTTTTTTTTTTTTTAACATAATCAATTTAATACTCCATCCGTCATATTTTGTTTGTCTGATTCGGTTAAAGATATTTGACTGAAGTTAATATATAAAAATTATATATTTAAAAAGTGCTACTATATTAAACACGAAAAATTAAATTTAAAAATAATTAAAAATTACTAAAGAAAACAAGCAATAAGAACATATTTGTCACAATATCACCACCTAATAATTATTGAAATGATGATCAAATTAGTCATCGAATTACACTAAAAAAATATATAATTATGCTATATTGACATTGAACGAAAAGAACAATAACTCACACCTGGCGTGGTCAAGTTAATATTTCTTCTTAGGAGCTCCGAAAGGGGTGGTTGATTGGGTGGAATCCTCTGGGTTGAGCCCGTTATATAAATATTCTTAGTGCGGTTACTCTCATGTTTAATTTGCATGCTCCTATGAAAAGAAATAGTTATTCTTAGGGAATTGAAAAGCATTTTTTTTTGGAAAGGATGAAAAGCATTTTTTTAAACATCAATATTAATCAAATAGTTTGATTACAAAACACATAAATCAAACTACAATACATAATAGTCATGATAAACTATAAGATTTCAGTAGGCAGTATTTCAGAGCAAAGATATTAGAGTTCGAACCTTGGCGGCAGCAATATGGAGATTATGTTTAAAGTGGACATATCCCTATGCGCACCGGCATCGGCATTTGGTCTTGTCTGCTGAGTCATTGAGTCACCGTGATTTACATCCTCCCAAATGTTCTGTCGGACTGAGGTGTGAGGGGCCCTTGAGGTTGAGGATTCAACCTTTTGTGAGAAGAATATAAACTATAAGATAGTATTCATTTATGATCTCTCATATTTTGATATAAATTTCTTTGGAAAATTTGCATTTTCCGTATCTTAGTTATATGGTAATTGTGTAATGTCCCTGAGTGTTGGTAATGCTCATTTTTCGTCCCTAAGTTAACATTGGTGTTGCATTTTTTCGTTCTTTCGTGCTCACTTTTTGTCCATGAATTATACTAAAATTGCAAATTTTGTCCATAATGTTTTATTAGTAAATGAACGAAAAATGCAACGTCAATGATAAATTAAGGACGAAAAGTGAGTATGACCAATACTTAACGAATTTTACAATTACCCTATAACTTAGGAAAAAAGTGCAATTTTCTCTTTTTCTTAAATGAACCCCAAAATACAATTATGATATACCAAATAATAACACATTACTTATATTTATATATAAATTAATATTTTCGATGCGCAATGTGCAAAAATAGGTGTCCAATATTAGTACTTTATATTAAAATTTTAGATTTATTTAGATTTTAGATATTTAAATTATTGTAAATAATAATAATAATAATAATAATAATAATAATAATAATAATAATAATAATAACAACAACAACAACAACAATAATAATGTAAAATATTTTTATAAATTTGATATTTATATTTTAGGAAATAAATAACATATAACTCCAATATATAATGTGTACATATTATTGTTATTATTGAAGAAGATAATAAAATATACAGTGAATGCATGTGCATGGTAACAATAGTGGAAAAGATAACAGAAGTTATAACTGTAGAGGTACATTTGTCCAAAATATTGTATAGTACAACTTTTATAGCATAATGTATAAAAAACGTAACGGAAAACAGACATACATGAATGGTATAACCTTCATTCACACTTATTATGTTTTTAGATTTAGATATTAGATATAGTTTTTAAACACCTAACATCATATTTTCTAACAAATTAATAATCTAACATCATGTTTTTAAGGGAAAATTATCAAATACCCCCTAAACTTTACTAAAAAATTAAGTAGGCACTTAAATTTTCTAATGTTGCAATTAAATATATAAATATGTTATTTTGGAGCATTGAAGCTCAGGAATCGGCCGGCGACCTATAATTGCATGTACTAGGGTTTCGACGGTCCTCCGGTGAAATTTTGGTGACGCTGGTCGTTAGTGTTTGTCTCTTTAAATTCGCCGGAGGACCACCGAAACCCTAGTTACCTGCAATTATAGGTCAACACCCGATTTTTGGATTTAAATGCTTCAAAATAACATGTTATGAATATAATTGTAACTTTTAAAAATTTAATAGTCTAATTGATTTTTTTATTAAAGTTCAGGAGCCTATTTGATTATTTTTTCTATTATTTTAATTTTATAACAACCTAACTTGGAATCGAGACATTTATATTTTGAGGGAAAGAGATATTTATATTTTGGGAGCAAGTAAATGTAAGTAAATATAAAATCTTCAATAAGGCAATAAATAACATGAGCATAACTCAAACTCATATATTTGGAAGTAAATAAGATATAAGGACTTGTTTAGTTCACGAAAAATATTTGAGGCGAAATATAATTGAAATTCTATAGAAAAGTAATAACTGGGAAGATTAATTTTATTGTTTGGTTGGTAAAAATTAAATTATTGAGTATAAGACCTATATACCCTACACAATAATAATAATAATAATAATAATAATAATAATAATAATAATAATAATAATAATAATAATAAATTATAAAGACAAAATAGTCATGTCAACTCACTTTTTGTTCCCAAGTTTCATGAAAACAAAATATCACCATCAACCTTTGGAAAAAAAGTTCTTCATAACTAACGAAAATTTTTTCTATATAAAAAGTTTTTCATGAACCTAACCGGAGAAAAATATCATTTTTTCAAATTTAATGGAAAATTTTTTCTATAGAATCAAACACCCCCTAAAGAAAATCCACTAATGTTACATCAAGTAATTAAGCCATAAGCAAGAGTGAAATCAAAATTCATTTAGCAATTTGGTAGTCTAAATTTTTTTTATATAAACACTTAATATTAGCATTTATATATTTGGAAGTAAGTTCTAGTATCAAATCCAAAAAGTAAATAACAATCTGATAGTTTTATTCGGACCGGATCCACCATAAACTGAGTATATAAATACAGAACGGGGGTAGGAAAGAATAACTTTATTACCCTGGGCGCTAGGTCCAAAATAATGGGTACAAAGCCCAGAATCAAACCCAGGTATAGGGGTTGAGAATATGAGATCAAGACCATTTGAACCATAGTACTAGTCGTGTCTGTGTATTTCTTGCCCTTTGCCAGGAATTCAGGACCCCTATTTATAGATTGCCCCCTTCCCCTTCCTGACACCCATGTGTCCCACGTACTTAGACCTCACTCCCCCCCTTTTTTTGCACGCCAGTCCGCACGTTCACCACACCTCTGAAACCCCCGCACCTCTACGCGCACCCCACGCACCCCGGGCGGCCCACTCGCCCAGCGCCAGAAACCGCACTGCCGCGCCCCCTGCGATGGGGGCGCCAGGCACGCCATCGCCGGCTATGGGCGCCGTCCCCGTGGCCTCGCACGGGGGCGCTACGCCCGCTGCGACCAGCGCCCCAGCCGGCGGTCTTTTCCGGCCACCCCCAACCCCATGCCGCCGTGCCTCGACCCAAAACCCCCTGAACGATCTTAATATTGATTATGCAATAAGACACTTATATTATCCAAATCAAGACATTTTAGAAATTCTTTACAAAATAAAATGTTTTAATTAATTGCAAGCAAATACCTAGAAGGGTATGTAACTAGAAAGCTTTGGACTTACAGAATCATGAGTCATCAATGGTGTTGATCTGGTACCACCGACATTTATGACTATGTAGGCATTGAGATTTATACCCAATATCACTGCAATCGGGTTGTGAGTTGTGGGTTGCGATTGATGATTCTCTAGGTCTCCATAGATTTTCGGATAAAATTGAAAATGACAGCGTTTACTGTGAATAGAAAGGTAAAGATGAGAACCAAATAGAAAATAATGAATCTTTTAATGACAAGTGACACTTCTGAAGGAAAAAAAAAAAAAAAAAAAAAAAAAAAAAAAAAAAAAAAAAACATTGTGTATTATGCCAATGAAGATTCCATTGTCATCTTCAAAAAAGAAAAAAAAAATCAATGAAACTACAAAGTAAAACCTTTTCAAATATTCCATGTCATGTTTGACCCGTTTCTTGAATTTCTTGAACCACCAGTTTAAGATATTCATCGGCACAATCAGCTTGCCTTCGTCCACTATGCAAAACAATTTCTCTCTCATTTTCATCGCTAACCTATTTATTTTCTTGAGGGAAGTGTAGTGAGCTCCTCACTAGAAATGTTGATTTTGGGGGAGAGTGGAGTGACATCAACATGTCGCCATGCTCCGACCATTGTAAGGAGAGCACAATGATGCACTTGGTCAAGCAACAATGATGTTGCTTGCTTTCAAATGGGATTTGTTTACTCAGAGTACCTGAGGGAGGTAGGGATATCGTCTTCAATTTGAGGGTTTTAATTTTTAATGGCTAATTTTTATGATTGATAAAGAGTTAATTCCACTAGAGGTTCCTTGTCTTTGGTGGCAGTTTCAAATTTAGTCTCATATTATCGTTTTTGTCATTTAACATCCCAGACTATTGTTTTTTGGACATTTTTAGTCATTTTCATGACTTTTCCTATTTTTAGTAAGGGCATTTTTGTCTCTTCATATTTTTCTTTTGTTATTTTTTCCGATTTCAACCGGTTTAATTGGTTTAAGACTTTACTAAAAACCGGCTAGAAATTATGGTTACTAAAAATCAGAGATTACCTAAAGTTCTAAACTAATTAAATCGGTTGAAATCGAAAAAAATAACAAAAGAAAAATATGAAAAATCTGGGGTGTTAAATGGTAAAAACAATAGTCGGGAACTAAATTTGAAATTGCCACTAAAGACAATGAACCTCTGGTGGAATTAACTCTTTGATAAATAAGGAACATGGAAAAAAATAATTTTTTTAAAAAAATATGGACAACCACATGGAACGCAAATTATGCCGTGGAATCGTGTTCACCGAGAATGGTGAACACAAGTCAAAACGACGTCGTTTTTAGGCAAAAAAAAAAAAAATTCGCGGATGTGGAGTTAACGGCGCGTTACTGATCAAATTATGAATTTTCTGTTATGAGATTATGAATTTTATGAAAATTCATAATCTCATAACAGAAAATTCATAATCGCATAACAGAAAATTCATAATCTCACAACTGAAAATTCATAATCTCATAACAGAAAATTCATAATCTTATAACAGAAAATTCATAATCTCATGGTTCCAAAGTGAATGTGTAGGCATGGTTCCAAAGTGAATGTGCAGGCATGGATTCATAATTTATGAATGTCCGTGATTTCGGACGGGAATATGTAGGCATGGTTCCAAAGTGAATGTGCATGCATGAATTCATAATTTATGAATGTCCGAAACTCCGAAATTATGAATGTAATGAAAATTCATAA